CTCTGTCAGGTGACCTAGCGGTGACACTGATTCCTCCAAATATACATTTGTCCTACTGTGATTCTTCCATTAGATTAATACTCTACCAAATTAAAAATAAAAACTATATTAACTATTAGGAGGAAAAAAGTAGCAGCTGGAGGCCCTAGCTCCTGAGATTGGGACTCAATTATGCTAGGTACTGTACAAGCACACAATAAGGGTCAGTCACTGCCTTGGAGCTTACATTCCAAATAGAAATGCTGGACAAAGGGTGCGTGTGTGTGTGCGTGCACAAGTATATATATGTGTGTATATATATATATATAGAGAGAGAGAGAGAGAGAGCGAGCACGCAATTGCACATGGGCAAGACAAGCAAGGCCAGGTTTAGGATAAACAAAATAAAAAACAAAACTAGGTAAATGGTCTTGATCCACCCAGTGGCTTCTGACTCAGCAGTGTTCAGCTTGGGAAGACCTCCAAGGAACCCAGCACAAAGAGCAACCATCTGGCATGTGCACAGCATTTTCCACAGCCCCACTGATGCAATGTGTGCAGTGCTGGATGTCCCAAGCATGGTCGGTGTTGGGACAGCGACCTGCACCACACCTGAAACAGTTAAGCTGGTTCCAGAGGCAGCACAGAAGCTCAAAGTCAGGTAGTCTTTCTATTGGCCTGCTGACGTGGGAGTTTTGGGTAGTGGCAGAGGCCCTCTGCCACAGTGAGCTGCTGTTTTATCTGCTGGAGAGAGAATGTGCAGCACTGTCCAGACAGGATTTCTGCTACGCAGCCAGTGGCAGGGTGCCTTTCACCTACTCCTGAACAGTGGCAAGCGTGGCATTTGCTGGACCTTAGTGATGAGTTTGTTGGCCGTTTCTGTTGCCAGATGTTAGGTGGAGGAATATTGGGCAGGGCTGGAACCCTTGTGAGTTTTGTTATGGGAGAAACTATGATTATCTCCATTTTAATAGTTGGGAGCAGTTGCACAGAGAGAATAAGTGATGTGCCCAAGATCACACAGGACATCTGGCAGAGCTGGGAATCTGGCACCAGAACACAAGGACGTTTGATCTACTCCATTGTGGCATATCTGAAAAGCAGGAGGGGTGGAGTTGTCACCACCTCCCACACTCCTTTGTGCCGGTTCTTAAATTGGCATTTTACATTTTATTTTTTTAGGGGGTGTCACAGGGGCTAGCTCTTGCAGGGGAGTCAGGGACCAGCCTACCTCAGACAGTCTCCTCTAGGGGAGCACAAGCCAGCTCAGACACACCTGGATTCTGGAAGTAATTAAATCCTGAGGTGGCTGGTTGGCAGTTAATTAGCCTGATAAAGGATTACCAGTGCCCAGCTGAGGCGGTTCCCAGAGACAAGAAGCTCTTGAGGGAAGGAGCTTATCAAAGGAAGGGGCCCGTAGTGTACTCTGAAGCCCCGCCCCACAACATGCTATAAAAAACTCCACAGCCCAGCTGCCAAGGTTCCTTCCCCACTCTGAACTCTAGGGTACAGATGTGGGGATCCACATGAAAGATGCCCTACACTTATTTTTACTAGATTAGGTGAAAAACTTCCCCAAGATACAAACTTTGCCTTGTCCTTGAACAGTACGCTGCCACCATCAAGTGTTTTAAACAAAGAACAGGGAAAGAGACCACTTGGAGACATCTTCCCCCAAAATGGCCCCCCAAGCCCTACACACACCCCCTTTCCTGCGGAAGGCTTGATGAGAATCCTCACCAATTGGTACAGGTGAACACAGACCCAAACTCTTGGATCAGGTTCTTAAAAGAAGAATTTTAATGAAAGAAAAGGTAAAAGAATCACCTCTGTAAAATCAGGATGGTAAATACCTTACAGGGTAATCAGATTCCAAACATAGAGAATCCCTCTAGGCAAAACCTTAAGTTACAAAAAGACACAAAAACAGGAATATACATTCCCTCCAGCACAGCTTATTTTACAAACCATTAAACAAAAGAAAATCTAACGCATTTTCTAGCTACATTACTTACTAACTTTACAGGAGTTGTAAGGCTGCATTCTTGATCTGTTCCCAGCAAAAGCACCACACAGACAGACAGACCCTTTGTTCCCCACCCCCCTCCAGATTTGAAAGTATCTTGTCCCCTCATTGGTCATTTTGGGTCAAGTGCCAGCGAGGTTATCTTAGCTTCTGAACCCTTTACAGGTGAAAGGGCTCTGCCTCTGGCCAGGAGGGATTTTATAGCACTGTATACAGAAAGGTGGTTCCCCTTCCCTTTATATTTATGACATCAGCTGTGCCACAACAACTGGTTTTCTGCATATAAAAGCCAGGGCCAGTGTTGGGGGGAGCAAGTAGGGCAATTGCCTATGGCCCCATGCCACAGGGGGCCCTGTTAAGCTAAATTGTTCGGGCTCAGGCTTCAGCCCCACAGTGCTTGGGCTTTGGCTTTCTGCCCTGAGCCCCAGCGAGTTAAAACCTGCCCTGCTTGGTGGACCCCTCATTCAGAGCCACTGCTCTGAGTGACAGGGAACTCCCAAACAGTGACAGGAAGCCTCACCTGTCAGAAACTAGATGCTGCCCCATAGAAGAGCAGCTGCTGACAGATCTCTGCCCAGCCTGGCTCCAGGGAAAGATGTTTTAATTGTAAGAGACCCTACTACAGGGAAAGGACCTGAACTGAGAGAACCTTGCTGAAGGGAAGTGATGGACCCAGATGAGAATGGATAAAGTGAGACTGACTCAGTCTCCCAGCTAAGGTGCTGGGGTAAAGGCTTTCTTTTCATTGGACCTTTAGTTAATAAGCTAGATTGTTCAGGAGTATTGTTCCTTATGTAAAAAATCTTAATTTATAGATGACATTGGGGGAAACTGAGGAAGCGAGCATCTGTAGCATCACACTTGGCCAGAATGGAGTGCTATAGGACAGATACACCGTGTGATGGGGGATGTTAAGGAACAAAGACTTTCCATCTTATGTAATAACTGCCTGGAGGGTGCCTGGTCCTTCTTTTCCCAAAGATTAAAATGTTCAACCAGAGAGCAAAGCTGGCAAGCTAGGAAGTTTAGCACTGTAAAATGATACTTCTTAATACCTCAGGCCATATTTCTGAGCAGGTATTGATCCTCAGCCAGAGATGCCAAGGTGCCATCAGCTCATAGCACGATAAATGACAGAACTAGGACATGGCAAATGGCACTTTTAAAGCCGTCAGCAGAATGACAGCTTGGTGGATGCTTTGCATTAAAAACAGGGAGTCACGTGCTATATTCTTAGAGCAAGGGGTAATGCAAGGCAGATCCTTGTTAAAAGAGAAATGGTTTCCAAGATATAACCAAGTTTTTTCCCTAGCTAACTAAGGCTTTCTCCTCCTCAGCAGTTTGCTTTCAAAGCTCAGTTTTCTGCTCACATTATTTCTGCTAAGAGTGAAATGGGTTTTGATAACTTGAAGGAGTAAGCTTTTAATTTACTGGAATTCAGGGAAAACATCAGCTGCTGAACATAGCAGTGTTGCTGAGTCAGTAGGTAGCCCTCCCCTTCCCAAATCAGTGCAGTCTTTGTACCGCACTATGGTAGCAGTGGTCATTGTTGCTATCTTTGGGATAAAACCTAAGGTTCTGAACACTTATGCTTATTAAGATCTCCCTCCCCCCCCAGAGTAATGGGTTTTAATCCTGGAATCTTGGCCAGATTCTAACTGGTTAGATTCTGGTGACCTAAATCCACCTTGGGTACAACATGCTTCGTGTTTTTAAATTTTTTTTTTTTAACCTAAAAGTAACTCGAGGGGTTTTCTCTGCCTATTTGCCTGGAGACAAAGGCGTTAAGGTTTTTTTTTTTATTTTTTTTATTTTTCTGTAGGCTGACAATCACTATCAGAGAATATAGGTAGCCTATTACAGCACAGCAAAATTTTACAAGCCAAGTTTTGTTTGTTTTATTTCTAACCCTCAGGTGTAAAGTTAGTGAAAAACAGAGAGGTAAAGATGACAGACACCAAGGCACTACACAAATTGGAGTTAGCCAAACTGGAGGCAGTGAAAGAAGCCGAAAGAGCCCTAGAAGCTGCTCACAGGAGAGAAATGGAGGCAAAGGACAAAGAAAGGGAGGCAGCGAAAGAGGCAGAACACCACCAAGCGGCTGCTAACAGGAGAGCTATGGAGGCAAAGAAAAAAGATATGGAGGAGAAGGAAAGAGAGAGGAAGCATGTGGAGGAAGAGAAGGAAAAAGAGAGGAAGCATGCACTGGAGATGGAGAAGGCAAGGGCTCAGCAGAATATACCAACAAACCCTAGCAATCCTTCTCCAGGTACCACTTCCCATCCCAGAAAGTTCCCCACCTACAAGGCAGGTGATGATACCGAGGCCTTCTTAGAAAACTTTGAAAGGGCCTGCCTTGGGTACAGCATCTCTACAGACCAATACATGATAGAGCTGAGGCCGCAGCTCAGTGGACCCTTAGCTGAGGTAGCGGCTGAAATGCCTAAGGCACAAATGAACCGGTATGAACTGTTTAAAACCAAGGCGAGAGTCAGAATGGGGCTAACACCCGAGCATTCCCGTCGGCGATTCAGAGCCCTAAGGTGGAAACCATCATTAAACAGGTGCTCAGTTCCACCCAAGAAGTGGCTGCATTTTGTTACTGGGTGAAGGGATTCTGGTATTTGTAAAACACTTTAGGATATTTCAAGTCAGCATAAATATCATTATAAATTACTATAAAGATGTTATACTATAAGACTGTACTGGATCAACCCTATCTTCCACAGCTGTACTACAGTTTAAGCCACAGACTGCACAGAAAGCAGAGATATGTTAATGATTACAAAATAAAGTCACACCTGTGTCCATTAACTGAAGAGATGCTACAAATGCTCAAGCACTGTTAGAAACTAAAGGGTGATTAGGGAAGACCAGAACTACAGAACTGATTTTATACTCCGAATAGAAAATGCAAGTGATTGTGTATTTTAGGCTGACTTCAACAGTTCAAATACTCTTGCATAAATCTTGCTGAAATTATCCACAATAGAGGTTTCTTTTTTAAAGAGTCTTTAATGCAGTGTTAACACAATGTACACACGTAATTCTGTCTTCTTCCCCGCCATTTAAAAAGTTACCTTTCTTTACATGATCAAAGACTGCATTTGGAGAACAGTGCACTGAAAAGATTTTCTTAAGAAAAGGTAAGCCACAGGAAGGGCACAAACCTGCCCCAATCCAGACTTGCCCAATAAAGGATATAGTTTTGCAATATAAATTCTCAGGTTTTATTAGTATAAAGATCAATCTCCTTTAAATGACATTTTGCTTAACATAATTTTGCAATAAAATATTCAGTTGGTGTTAGACATTCTTACAGCCAAACCGCAGTCAGGTAAAGCATTCTGATAGTTTGCATGCAGAGTAACCATACAGATTTGTATTGTATTTGACCAAGTAAGTACTCCTATTGGCCCACAGTGGGAATTGTCTTTATCACGATGTTAGGCACCAGTTCCCTAGCCCTCATACGTTGTCTATACTTTTTTTTTTTGGACTGCTCAAAATGGGAGTGGTTAATGAAAGATGTATTAGGAGAAATTTAAACTAACACTAACCCAACTTCTCAGAACAAAGTAGGGATAAATATTGACTGCTGAAACAAATGATATTTTGTACACTTAACATTTACCCATGCCATCAAATTTCCCCATCTTAAAAAAAAAAGTTATTTGATGTAAGAACAGTTGTGTACTCTCTGTATATTCAGGCAGCTGCATTTTCAGGCTTCCTATTGACCCATTAAGTCACAATTATGGATCATGGGGCTTTTCAATCATCTTCAGTCCAAGTCTCCCAACCATTAACAGACTGTTTAAAGGAAAACATTGTAAGTTCATTGAAATTAAAAAAAGTGCAGAGCAAACTTCCAAATACTCCCCGCAAAAACATAAGTACAAAACTGAAATTATCTGGTTTTAAAAAGATACATGGAATCTTATTTAAATATTTTATAATCCTAGAACACAGTAATTTAACCCCAATGTAATTAAATAGGAGTGACTCAAACATATGGAGTAAGATTAGAAACAGCATGTGGTGTAGTACCTGGCACCAGCAATTAATCCTGCAGGCATGACTTTTCCAGAGTTGTAAAATCTCATTCCCATAACTCCAGTCAGTGTTCCAGATGCAACTAAATGAAAGATCGGATGACCAGTCAGAACTATTTCAGAGGTATGTGTGCAAGAGAGACATGCTAACTCAGAACGAGCAAAAAAGAAGTGATAAATAGATCAAGTGTGAAACACGATTAATTTCATAAAACAGAAAAATCAAGAAAACTCTGTAAATTTTTTTTTAAAACCCACTGTAAGGGGTAATATTTTAAACGCAGGTTTTACACACCTATCTGGTGTCCTTATAGTTCCCTTGGAAAAAGATGCATCTTTCATCAGAAATAAGTTATTCTAACCACAACTAAGGCATTGACTCCCTCCCAGTCTTTGGGCAAAACTTGTGCACCTCGGTTTCCCCAATGCGTGTGTGTGTGCACGCGCACGCATGTGTGAAACAGTGAGAATATATTTGTTCACCTATCTCTCAAAGGTGTTCTGAGGATTAGTTAATCTGTGTTTGTAAAAGACTTTGAAGATTTAGCATGCTTCATATACCTTAAGTATTGTTAATTTATTTCAAGAACCTGCACTATCTTCCATTAGCTGAGCTAAGAGTGAGTATTATCCATCTTGATCAGTTATTCCTGGCACTGTCCCCATGCAAATTCATGGAGCTGCTAAAAATGAAGGGCCAAACCGCTGACTACTACACACCCCTCCAATGAAAAAGCTGAGTGATTAGAAAAATGTGCAGAACTCATTCCTCAGCACAGAAGACATATGGAGGATGAAATCCTTAGCCCATTCATGGAGTAGCCAGCCCATAGCAACAACTGCAAAACATAAAAGTGAGCAGAATGGCAGACACCTGTCACCACCTCCCTTTATGGGGGTTTGATTAGCGGATCCATCTGTGCACAAATCCACTGCTCAATCCTCTACAAATAATTTTAATGGGCCTATTTACTCAAGTTGGGGTTTGCAGGATGGATCCCTAGTTTGTATACAACTGTAGTCTAGGGTACTGATCAGAACTGGCATTTAACCTTGTCGCCTTTCACAAATATTTTGTTAAAACTGCCTTAAGTCCTAATGGACTGATCACCATAAATGTAATCAAACAAAAATTATATTTAGTGGCAATTAAGATATCTCCACTCAAGACCTTACAAACATGTATATATGTGAAGATGGGGAAACAATTTATGTTTTTATATCGGGATGGGCAAACTACAGCCTGCAGCCAGCCCATCAACCTTTAAATACAGCCCTTGAGCTCTTGTGGGGGAGCGGGGTCAGGGGCTTGCCCTGCTCCGGTGCTCCAGCTGGGGAGTGGGGTCGGGGGCTTGCTCCGCTCCATGCGTGCTCCGCGCGGCTCCCGGAAGCAGCAGCATGTCCCGACTCTGGCTCCTATGTGTAGGGTTAGCCAGGGGGCTCTGCATGCTGCCCCCGCCCAAAGCACTGGCTCTGCAGCTCCCATTGGCTGAGAACCATGACCAATGGAAGCTGCAGGAGCGGTGCCTGCAGACAGGGCAGCACGCAGTCGCCTGGTCGTGCCTCCGCGTAGGAGCGGGAGATGGGGACATGTCGCTGCTTCTGGGAGTTGCTTGAGGTAAGAGCCACCCGCAGCCTGCGTCTCTGACCTCCTCCCACATCCCAACCTCCTGACCCAGCCTGGAGCCCCCTCCCGCACCCTGAACTCCTCATTTCTGGCCCCAACCCAGAGCCTGCACCCCCAGCCAGAGCTCTCACCTCATCCCGCACCCCAACTCCCAATTTTGTGAGCATCCATGGCCCGCTATGCAATTTCCATACCCAGATGTGGCCCTAAGGTCAAAAAGTTTACCCACCCCTATTTTATATCAACAGATCAGCACATCTGACTGTCACACATTCCATACATTTGGAAAGTTATTTTGCCTTAACACTGCTGACATTAAGGTTTTGTGTTACTGCAAGTTTAAACAAAGGTGGGGTATGTACTGCTTTGGGGCATCAGTTGGAGATGGAAGCAAAAGCCTTACGGAGCCCTGGAGTGCGTATCAACAGTGCTATAGGCAATATGAAGGTGAAAAGGAATACACAAGTCTTTCCCCATTACTTATTTCCATAGTTCTAAAGTTTGAGTGGGTGGAGTGCCACAACCTTAACTGCCATTAAATTAGTTTGTGTTTGCTAACTTCTTGGTTTTTTTTTTTAAACTACAGCTTGGGTGTATAATTCCCAAGAGTCAATGAGAAAGGAAGTGGCACCTGCCTGGGAACCAGAGGAATAAATTGCACTGTTGAAGCAGTGTCTATATTGACCCTTATGATGAGTGCGAGAGGCTGTGATGTTCCCCAGTAAACTGAGTGCCTACCATTTTATCCCCATTTATAAATTATTAAAAAGTAAACAAAGAGCAACCCTCTAGATTTAGCAGTGAAAACATAACCTGTCAGCTGCAGGGAACCTCTGTGAAGTAGCAGTTGCAGCAGCAGGGTGTCATCCCTGCATTACAGCAGATATGCCTATTGTGCTCCCTCCTCCCAGCCAGTATAAAGCACATGGCTCAATGTAAGACACCAGCACATGTGACAACCGTCAGTTTGCCCAAGACCGGGGACTGAACCAATGACCTCTAGAGCTAAAAGCATGCAATTTTACAGCTTGTTCTCAAGAGGTATGCCCTCAAGCTGAGAGTTGTCACAGAGGGACGTCCTCTGTGGATCAGACATAGAGGGTTACGCTTCACACACCCCCTGCCTCCATTGGATTACACAAACAAAATGTTGTGACAAGTGGGTGCAATACAAAACATGTATTTTGGGGATTCACACCATATTACAGATTGTAATTTTTAACCAAAAAACCCTGACCAAAAGTATTTTTTTCACTATGTGAATTGCATGCAACCATACACTCCCGCCTTCCAGAAGCAGCAGAGTTTGAACTCCTTGACCTTCAGGTCCCCTAACTTAGGCTCTTATTATTTGAGCTACAGGAGCACTTCCTTTCTAGACCAGTCACTGGAGGAGGACTTGACACACACTTCCAAGTGACTTACATTGTTTACTAGTCAGCAGTAGAACACCGATGATCAGAACCCCTGGCTCTGGGACAAAAATGTGGTTTACAGCTGTTAAGGACAAGATAACCCAAAATGGTTTTAGTCTCTCTGAAAGACAGTGTGGTGCAGTGGGGAAGATTAGGGTTTGTTATCTTAGACCTGAGGTCTGGATTTGTAGTGAACTTGCATAAACTATTAACTTATTTTAAAAGGAAAGGGGGCTGGGGGGAAAAAGGGTGGTGTCAACAGCTCTTTCCTAACTGTCTTCTAGGTAGGAGTTCATGACTGTAGTCAATAATAGGGGTAGTGAATTGCAGAGGAATTTAAACAGCACGTAGAAGAGGTGAAAGCTGAACTCCCACCTGGTCTCCTCTTTCCTCTAGGCTACTGGCAGCATTTGATGAGGGTTTCTCTCTCACTATCTAGAAGTGATGACCATTCATATCCTCAGCAGATTTTTCTGCAAACTGAAATTTGGCAGGTTTGGCTTGGCATATGTTTTCCTTTAAGGCTAAAATGTCATACAATATTCTATAGACAAACACACCTGATGTACAGTATAACTGATATTCTAGGAATCAGTACATGAAGACAACGATGTGGCTAAAAGCCAGAGCCTGGAGTGATTTAAATTTATTGCCAAACGAGTACAAAGAAAAGTGAGACAGTCTAGCAGGGAGGGGTGGGGAAGACATACCAAAGGGGATAATAATTAAACTCTTATTATTCTCTCTATCAATTCATTTTTCATTAAACCATCATGAAAATTTCAAATAGTGCTCTAAGTTTATATTCAATGTATTGCTTTTTGCCATTTCAGTGAGAGTTCTACAAAATAAAGGTTTTAAATGCCCGGTTAAAACTGAACTTTGAAGCACAATCTTAGCTATGGTGCACCCTACTGCTGCACCATCATATACAGCCTTGAAGTGTTATTAACATAACAGTATGTTTGTTTTACATAGATATTTTAAAGTAGACTCACTCAGAGAAAGCCACACATTTTTTGGATTCTGAGACAGCTGGTAAGCACCCAGTCCAGCTAAGCTCCCGAAGAGAAGACCAGCAGCTAGAGATGGGACACTACCTTGAATAAATCAAACATACTGCACTTATTAGAAGATCAGACATAAACTTGGTCCATAAACCAAGCAGTTAAACAAAACAATCATGTTCGTTCACTGTTATAAGGTAGACTAGAATTTAGATCAAATGTGAGAGGGATGTTAATATTTGAATAGGCTGGCTTTTATTAAGAAAGTCATGATACAGATCCTAACAAAGTACCAAATAACTCTAGATTAGTTGCAGGTAACATTACAGCATTTAGTTCTTTAACATGCAAATAAGTCATTGATAAATTACAAACAGAAAAAGAGTCACTAGAATAAAAGCATTAGACATGACCTTTGATGGGTAAAAGAATTTGTCCCCGTCCCCTCCCCCCGCCGCAAATGTTTCCAGAAGCTCTTGAGAGGTACTAGCATGAAATAAAGGGATTAATTATGTTGGGTGGTACAGATCTCACATAGCAATGATCTGAGATTAGAAAAAGGAAATTTAAACTAGGTAGGTGTCATAAATATAAAGGGAAGGGTAAACCCCCTTGAAATCCCTCCTGGCCAGGGGAAAGCTCTTCTCACCTGTAAAGGGTTAAGAAGCTAAAGGTAACCTCGCTGGCACCTGACCAAAATGACCAATGAGGAGACAAGATACTTTCAAAAGCTGGGAGGAGGGAGAGAAACAAAGGGTCTGTGTCTGTCTATATGCTGGTCTTTGTCGGGGATAGACCAGGAATGGAGTCTTAGAACTTTTAGTAAGTAATCTAGCTAGGTATGTGTTAGATTATGATTTCTTTAAATGGCTGAGAAAAGAATTGTGCTGAATAGAATAACTAATTCTGTCTGTGTATCTTTTTTGTAACTTAAGGTTTTGCCTAGAGGGGTTCTCTATGTTTTTGAATCTAATTACCCTGCAAGATATCTACCATCCTGATTTTATATGACATGGTGGCAGAGGTGGGATCCATGTCAGGGTTCCTCCCCACTCTGAACTCTAGGGTACAGATGTGGGGACCTGCATGAAAAACCTCCTAAGCTTATCTTTACCAGCTTAGGTCAAAACTTCCCAAAGGTACAAAATATTCCACCCGTTGTCCTTGGACTGGCCACTACCACCACCAAACTAATACTGGTTACTGGGGAAGAGCTGTTTGGACGCGTCCTTCCCCCCAAAATACTTCCCAAAACCTTGCACCCCACTTCCTGGACAAGGTTTGGTAAAAAGCCTCACCAATTTGCCTAGGTGACTACAGACCCAGACCCTTGGATCTTAAGACAATGAACAATCCTCCCAACACTTGCACCCCCCCTTTCCTGGGAAATGTTGGATAAAAAGCCTCACCAATTTGCATAGGTGACCACAGACCCAAATCCTTGGATCTGAGAACAATGAAAAAGCATTCAGTTTTCTTACAAGAAGACTTTTAATAAAAAAATAGAAGTAAATAGAAATAAAGAAATCCCCCCTGTAAAATCAGGATGGTAGATATCTTGCAGGGTAATTAGATTCAAAAACATAAAGAACCCCTCTAGGCAAAACCTTAAGTTACAAAAAAGATACACAGACAGAAATAGTTATTCTATTCAGCACAATTCTTTTCTCAGCCATTTAAAGAAATCATAATCTAACACATACCTAGCTAGATTACTTACTAAAAGTTCTAAGACTCCATTCCTGGTCTATCCCCGACAAAGACCAGCATATAGACAGAAACAGACCCTTTGTTTCTCTCCCTCCTCCCAGCTTTTGAAAGTATCTTGTCTCCTCATTGGTCATTTTGGTCAGGTGCCAGCGAGGTTACCTTTAGCTTCTTAACCCTTTACAGGTGAGAGGAGCTTTCCCCTGGCCAGGAGGGATTTCAAGGGGGTTTACCCTTCCCTTTATATTTATGACAGTAGGCAAGACGATTAGGCAACTTACGAAGAAGGGCTAGAAGGCACCAATAATAGAAGTATTCAAGGTTAAACACACAAAAGGCCCAAATCCAAAGCCATTGGAGACAATGGAAAAAATGATCCCCATGGACTTCAGTGGGCTTTAGATCTGGTCCTTAGTGCAAAAGGATAACCCTGCACTATTGACAGAAGATGCATGCTATTTCCAGTCCTATCCTCAGTGATTTGTAGATAACCTGTAAATGGAACTGACAAAATGTCATCACCTTTAATAAGTGATGAATGCCTTCATCAACCATGCTAAGAGCTGCATTCCACGCCTATTGCTAATGGTGATAGCATTCCATCTGTTCCATTTGCAGGTCACCACTAAAATGGTCTGAAATTGTAAGGCTAGTATGATAAAAGTCTTTACTCAAAGTTTACCAGAACAATGAGCACTTAGTGCTGTAGGAAGCTGATCATTCTTCAGTCATTAATTGTCAGCTGCTCTATTGGTTCAGATCCCACATCTGGGATAAAGCAGGGGATGGAGGGAGAGGAGGTGCAGGACACTCATTTGTGTAAGGAAAAGACACGCACATTAGCAAGTGGCTACTCTATTCCCATCCAGTTCAGCAGCGTAGCTACAGCTTTCTCCTTCAAATTGAGTAACTGATTTTCCTCAGAATGGCCACCGCATACCTGAATTTTGCCTCAATGATCAACAGTAATGAGATGCCCATGCCCACAGCTACTCACACATGGGACCCGCTTCCACCCCCCCATATTCCATAACACAACTGGGCAGGGGATGGGAGGTGGGGAGGGGGTTAGGTAGCGTGATGCCAGGATTTTCCTGGCATGCCTGCAGATTGGTTTTGGAGCACCCCATTGAATACAACATAGGCAAGATATGTTTCAGTACTTATGTTGGAGCCAAACAAAACCTTAAGTTATTACAAACACACTTGGACATTCTGAAGATATGGTCAGGCAGGGTCTCCACCTATAAAAGATGAAGGAGATAATGCTCCCTAGATTTGCACTACAGTAATAGATTTGACATATGAACGTGATATCGCAAGATCATAAGGATCTCCACACAGGAATAGACAATAGAGGTAATTTACACTGAGAACATTTTTTAAAAAAGAAAAAAATTATTAAAGAGCCTACTCTGTCAGTAGTGACATCATTATATAAGGCATCTCTTTTTTGCAAGGATATCAGAATGGTCAGAGATCTGACTGGTTGAACATTTTCAGGTTTAAGTTAAAAATAGATAACTATAGAATAAAGTGAATATAATGATGGACAGAGCCATTTGCTCACCTACTCTTCCTTTACTTTTAACATGCTTGTCCCGTACTTTTACTGGCACAGGCAGGTCTCAGTTATTAGCAGTCTCTCATACCCCGTCAAGTCACCTCACTTGCTTTTACTCCTCCCCTCAAAAAAATCATTCCTCTCAGATTGGGAGTCAGGAGACCTGGGTTCCTTGCCTCGCTTGGCCAATGAATTACCACATGACCTTGGAAAAGTCACTTAAATTCTGGGTCTCAGTTTCCCTATCTGGAAACAAAGGATAATAATGCTTATCATTTTGTAAAGTGCTCTGAGAAATACTAATCAAAAGTTCAGTGCAAGTTCCAAATGTTGTTCATTACCTCCATCCTGACTGGTCACCTACACTACAGGATGAAACAAGCTAGTGGGAGCACATTAACAAGCTCTCTGGAGCTCCAATTTATTCATATTTGTGGGCAAAACTCCTACTGAATTCAGGGATGTAGGAGCAGGCCAACGGGTAACAGCGAACTCCTCAGTCCACATTAAACATGGGTCTATCCTAAAATTGAGTGAGGGTTTCCATATGAATTGAGGCCTCCCATTGCAAGAATTTTAATAGCTGATGATCCACGGTTCTGTATGAAGGAATGAAAACCAAGAAAAGCAGAACTGGAAGCAGCAGATCAGGGAATAAAGTTCCAAGTGCAAATATATTCAATGCAGCTCTGCAAAGAAATATTGCTAAATAACTCTGACACAGCATAAACAAGTCACACTACTTACAGAAAGGTTAAAATGGAAAGCTGAGCTCCCTAAATACTTGCAGTTACTCTTCTAAATGTACCATTTTTAGAAGTGATAAGGGGACCACTTGTAGAGTACAAGATGGGTGTTGGTATCAATTGTAAAAAACAAAATTAAAAACTACTAGCAATTAACCTTTTTATAGGTTATCTGAAAAATATATAAGTAGGTCATTGATATTCAAGACATCAGCTATAAAGCCTTTCTGAAGCAACCTTACAGCGATTCACCCAAAGAACATAAAGCCATCAGTAGACGACTAGTATGCCTGATTGTGAGTTTATCACAAAAAACCACCAACTTAAATTACAGCTGTCCACTCCCAACTACAGTGAAAGATCTGCATAAACCTTAAACTGTCAAAGTTAAGAACAGCATGAACATTTAGATAGCCTCTTTCTACAAGAAGTTACACTGTGCAGAAAACTTGATATTTTGCTTTTTATATGAGGGGGTGGGGGTGGTTCCATTTCCCAACATCTGATTCAATGATGCACCAGAGAGTTTGAGGCTTTATCAATACTATACCTGCTTTTGCGTAGCCAATTATTCCACCTGATGTAACCAATGCTGCATAGCCAAAGCCTATCCAGTCCAAACCCATTCTGGGAACATAACAAGGAAATCAGAGTTATATTAATTCTTTTCATTCCCTCCTTCCTTGAGGCAGCTTTTATGCAAATGTAAATTTATTTTTAAACTTACTTTAATGCTCTCAAAGGTATTAACTTGATAACACTTGAAACGGAAGTCCTCTATTGATGTATATAGTTTTTGTATAATGACTAAAGGTTGGGCAACAGTAATGCAAACTTCCCTATACTGCTCTGTTTTTAGACAAGGTATTGGCAATCATTGAGAAAACAAGAACAAACATGCACCACAAACTTAAAATCCTAAGAACATGAAAGCATATACCATGATATCAGTGTATCTGGATGCAAGTGAGCAGGAGAAACATCTCATATGAATGAACAGTTCTGGACTAAGTGAAAGGATATCACACACATTAAGTATAGAATATTAAAATAGATTTTAAATGGGTTTGATGAACACTGAACCTGAAGGCCAAGGAGAAGCAGCGTGTTAGGAAGGTGGTTCAGGGTCTAATGGCTTGAGACAGATGTACTGAAGCTGCTCCTTAACAGAGGCCATTTGTAATGTTTCTGTGTCAAACATCTTAGGCAATTCCCTATAATGACAACGTAAGGGGTAAGATTTCAGAGTAACAGCCGTGTTAGTCTATATTCGCAAAAAGAAAAGGAGTACTTGTGGCACCTTAGAGACTAACCAATTTATTTGAGTATAAGCTTTCGTGAGCTACAGCTCACTTCATCGGAGCTACAGCTCACGAAAGCTTATGCTCAAATAAGTCTCTAAGGTGCCACAAGTACTCCTTTTCTTTTTGCGTAAGGGATAACAAATCTCATGGTCCTGCAATAACTCTAGCCCAGAACTTCCCTGAACAGGCAGAGACTGGGCCATGTTGCCATGATCAGATCTGGATCTGAACTTTCTCCAGGCTCAGGGGTGTCTGGATCTAGGTCTGGGTTCAGCCCAGTACACACACAGGTGCCAGCCACAAATCTGGATCCAAACCTCCCCACGGCCTGGGGAAACTCAGAGGCGGGGGCTGGTTCAGGCTCGTTTCTGTAAGAAGGGTTGACAGACCCCTGTGATCACCCCCAGAGGGATGCAGAGTGACTGCGGGAAAGCACTTTGCAAGACGCTAGCAAACAGAGAACAGGGCAGGGCGAGGAACCAGCCGTGACCAGAGGGGAACGTCACCATCTCCAGGGTCTGGGGTCCCCAACCGCAACACCCAGAAAACACCTCCTCCCCCCTCCAAACACGCCCCCCGCAGCCCAGCCTCGCTCAGCCCCGCTCAGCCCCCACCCCACGGCCCGCGCACGGAGCCTCGCTCAGCCCCCTGCACAGCTCGGCTCAGCACCACGCGAGAAGTACCAAGCCAGGTACTTGCCCCTACCGCTTCCCCCCGCCCCCGGCAGCCCCAGGGCCGGGCGCGTGCACTGCAGGCCGGCGGCACTGACCTGCCCTCCCCTGGAGCCCAGCTGCCGCGGGAACCTTCGCACCAGGGCCTGAGGCGCCCCGACCTTCCACCCCCGAACCTTCCCGGGGCGGGGCACGGGACGGGCCAGCCAATCAGAGCCGCGCATCGCCCGGGGTTTCCCGCCGCCGCGGCCCAGGGGGCGGGCTGGCTTGGCTCCCTCCGCCTCGCGCCTCACCCTCCCAGGACTGGATTTACCACGGCGCCCGGCCCCCACCCGCTCCCCCTCCCGTGGGGGCAGACGCTCGGTGCTGCTGGCGCTGGGGCTCCGGCTGCAGCTGGGCAGCCAGGCTCCTCCCCCCAGCGTGCTCCGTTCCGCCCCGCCCTCTCTCCCTGCCGCCGATCAGCTGTTTGCCGGCAGGGGGAGGGGGAAGAGCAGAGCCTCAGCACGCTCGGGGGGGGAGGAGGGGGTGGCAACCTTGGGGAAGGGGCTGGAATCGCGGCATACCCCCCCCCTCCAGCCCCCTGCCGTGAGTACCCCCACAACCCCAGCCCCCTGTCCACCCTGACCCCTGCACCCCCTCACACACCCCAAGCCCCCGGCCCTGACCCTTGAACCCCCCCAGCAACTTCTGCACCCCCTACACCCCCAGCCTCCCCATACCCTGACTTCTGCACCCCCCCACACATCCATCCTGAGCACCAAACAGTAGCTCCTGCACTCCCCACCCTTCCCACCTGCACCTGATAGGAGCCGCCCCAGGTAAAGGTTCCACCCCCAACCTTCTGCCCCCAACCCTGAGCCCCCTCCCTCACCCTAGCTCCTGGCCAGACCCCACACCCCAACATTTTTTTTTTTTTTACAGTATTTGGAAAGATTATTAAGTGGGCTGTAGAGATCCTCAGCAATTTTTAAGGGGTCTATAGAAAAATAAGTTAGACTACAGGAACAATCAAGGTACCTCACTTTATTTTCATCTACTTGCTGTTACTGATAGGAGGAGGATGAAGGAAAAAAAGAATGAAAAACGGGTGCAGGGGGAGATAAGAGACGAGTACTTGAGGCACGTTAGAGACTATCAAATTTATTTGAGCATAAGCTTTCCTGAGCTACAGCTCACTTCATCGGATGTATGCACTGGAAAATAGAGTGGGGAGATTTTATACACAGGGAGAACATGAAACAATGGGTGTTACCATACACACTGTAACGAGAGTGATCAGGTTACAGTGTGTCTGGTAACACCCATTGTTTCATGTTCTCCCTGTGTATAAAATCTCCCCACTCTATTTTCCACTGCATGCATCCAATGAAGTGAGCTGTAGCTCACGAAAGCTTATGCTCAAATTAAATTTGTTAAGTCTCTAAGGTGCCACAAGTACTCCTTTTCTTTTTGCGAATACAGACTAACACGGCTGTTACTCTGAAACCTGAGATAAGAGAGAATGTTCTTTTTCTTGGCTGGGTCCCAAGGAGGGACAAACCAACCAACCACAATAGGTGCAGTTGTGATAAACAGATGATGGGCCATTGTGCCCAGTTCTTCTGATCTCCGCTCAGCATGTCTGTCTTATCAGAAGCTTTTCTCCTGGATTTGCTCAGTAAAACAGAAATAGGTCTTTACTATGGGTTTCATATAGACTGTACTTATTGTGATAAGAACATGCTATCAATGTACAGTGTGGGACATATGTTTCAGCTAAGAAGTGCTTACCTTGCAGAACTCTTTTTTTTTTAAACACGTATATCTTCAGCCCTCACACTGGTTATTGCTGAATTACACTTGCTAAAAGTATCTGACAGCAGCATGTGGAAGAAAATGGTTGGTCTGTCACTGCATACACCTCTCAAAAAAAAAAAGGCTTAATGGATTTTGGTGAAAGGTTTTTGTTGTTTTTTAAACGTCACCTCTGACCTAAAAACAAACATGAAAAACATTTCTTTTCAGCCCAAAAGGAGTTTGAGAATGTTATCAATAACTTTAATAATAAATAAAAAGAGAAACTGCAGTTGACAATAGGAGATTCATTTCAGACTTAACTAGGATAACTGCCACTGTAATGACTGCTGACTTATGGAAATTTTGTTGACTATCCAACTTTGGGCCTATAGTTAGCATAAAATGAATAATAGTTTATATACGCCTCTACAATTAGAGAGGTTAAAAAACTAGCAATGGGCCTAAGCAGAAACTCCAGATCCAAACCTCACCCACAAATTCTTAGGAAATTCATATCCAGACAATAACTTGATTACTGGGATCATATCTAGTAAACAGTATTATTCCACTGCAGTTCAGTCCTTATCAAAGTGTAACATATACATTTCAGATGTTATTGATTAGTAGGTTTTTTTCAATGTTTCTTCTGTCTAGTAATTAGCTGAAAGCCCAGTTACAGAAGATCCCTCTGGCCCTCATCAAATGCATTCACAAGTGTGGTAAATGCAACAGTTTCTTCCACTATAGTAAGTATGCAACACTGGTAAAAAGGACACATTTGCTGAAGAAAGTGTTTTGCACTAACATTTCCTGCCAACACCTTGTGTACTGTGAGGTAAAATATATCCCAAAGACATATGAAGGATACAGAAAAACACTTCTTACAAACTACTAAGATTTAAACAAAACCACCTGAACAAGTGCTTAAACTATCTTCTCACTTTCTTCAATTCAGTGGTACTACAGGGTTCAAAGAACCTGAGAGGTGTTGAATAGGAATTCAGAGCGGACACCACATTTCAGGTTTCAAAGCAAAAAAGTGAGCAGTCCCAAACCAACACTGTACAGCACTGAACCTTTTCAGTAATTAATATTACAGTCAGAAACAGGCTATAGTCAGCATGAGTATACTTGCACCTGGGGCCATAGAATTGGCTGTGGAGACATTTATGGAAGGGGGCTAACGTCATATAGTTCTTTAGGCCTAGATCCTGCAAAGATTTACATGCGAGCAATTCCACTGAAGACAATAGGTCTACTCATGTGCAGTAAGCAAGTTCAAAAGTCTTGGCAGGATAGGGTCTTAGCCAATAAACTCAAGTTTTTGATCCACAGTCTTAAACACGTATATGCTTAATTTTTTGGGTAGAGATTAATCTGCATATTTCCATATTGCAGTGTTTGTGAAAATTCATCCTATATATTTAAAAAACCAAAATTGCTATCTACTAGTCTACATGTATAAATGGCATCCATCACCTCAGCCCATAGACATATTAAATAGAAATAAAAATAGACATCTGAAAATACTATACAAAATATGGTTCTAAAAGAACCATACACAACTCTCAATATCTGCCACTAAAATGGCCTAGCAGTCAGTTAAAAGTTTGATTGGATATATTTCACACTGCACCCTCAAATGGATCAGGCTTATTTTATATAGGTAAAAGCTTTGTATAAAACCAGAAGCTTCTAAAAACTATTTTAGGCCTGAATGTATATTCAGAGTTATGCAAGTTTAAATAAAGGTGTGACTTTAAACTGTCCCTGTGAAGCTAAGCTAAATCAATATAAACCAGGTTTAAAAATCAAATTAACACAGAAAGGGTTTAGTTCAACTAAATAAGGGAAAAAGTTACAAAAGATTAACATAGATTCCCTACTCCAAGAGCACATTGCCACCATAAAGTGAAAGATCCTAGCAGAGTCCAGATGATGTTTGTTTTGCTTTTGTGTCAGAGGACCCTTTAGTGCTCAGGCAGAGTCAGGCTGCTGTGCTAAAATACTTTACAGGTTTTATTTTATGTCCCCCCCAAGATACACTGCATTCCTTTTCCAGTGTGGCCCCATTCATTCTGTTGAGTTTTCCTACCCCTTCAATACTAATCTGGTCCTCTACATTCAGGTTAATCAAATTTTTATATAGAGTAGAGCAGGGGTTCTCAACCTTTTTCTTTCTGCGGCCCCCACCAACATGCTATAAAAACTCCACAGTCCACCCGTGCCACAATACCTGGTTTTCTGCATATAAAAGCCAGGGCCGGTGTTAGGGGGTAGCCACAGGCGCCCCAGCGAAGCTACATTGCTCAGGCTTCAGTTTCAGCCCCAGGTGGTGGGACTCAGAGCCCCAGGTTTTAGTCCCAAGCAATGGAGGCTTCGGCTTTCTGCCCTGGACCCCAGCAAGTCTAACACTGGCCCTGCTTGGTGGTGCCCCAGAAACCTGCTCGCGGCCCCCAGGGGTCCCTGGACCCCTGGTTGAGAACCACTGGAGTAGAGAACATTTCTGCTTTAGTGCCTATTGTCAGCCATGATTCTTATTTTGACTGAACATTCCCTGCTCACTTTCCTTTAAAGATAGGTGGAATTATGCCCAGTACGAATACTTAGCACAATGGTATAATGGTTCATCAGGGAGACAACTTTACATACATAATAAATACTACTCTTTCTCTGTTTTACACAATAAATCTCAGAGCACAGACTTGATAAACATTTTTAGGGGAGAAAAGGAGAAGGAAAGAAATTAATGTAAGCTTTTCCAACTTAACTAATTTATATTAGATTTCTTTGAACATAAAGAGTTAAAACGTATAGGACATCTTAAAGTTGTTCTAGCCCACTTCCTATTAACACTGGCATTTCAACAGCCTGAGAGTAAATGTAAATACTTGTAAAATGCCTGCATAAAAGTTACAAAAGTGTTTGTTTCAATGAAAAAAAGAAGAGGAGTACTTGTGGCACCTATGCATCCGATAAAGTGAGCTGTAGCTCACAAAAGCTTATGCTCAAATAAATTTGTTAGTCTCTAAGATGCCACAAGTCCTCCTGTTCTTTTTGCGGATACAGACTAACACGGCTACTACTCTGAAACCTGTTTCAATCAAGTAAACCAACTCCTGGAAAAAAGAGGACATAAACAGAGTTGAATTTATGGACACAGGCCTTTTTAAAATTAAAGACTTGAAACAGTAGAAGGCAAAAAATATACAATTTGCTTTTTACACCCTCTTTTCATTGCTGTCTTACGGGTTAAACACAAGTTTTCTTTTTGTGAATATATGAAGGATATTTTTGGTAGTTCTATTTTTATGACATCATGGAGTATATATTAAGATTGTCTAAAGATAACCCTTAAAGTGATAAAGGCAGGCACATTTTTTTAGTAAAAAAATCCAGCCTAGTAGGTGTATTTAAACCACAGTTTTCCCTGAATTATATAAAAAACTGGTCCCTTCCAAAATTAAGTCCTCCTAGATACAAGTGCCTAAACACTGTGGAAGATCTTTATGGGCTGCCAGTCCTGTTGCAAACAATTTAACATTGTAGAAATGGTTAACTGCAGACATTTTCATTGTATATTTCACTGAAACCTATTTTCAAGTTTTAATTATTAAAACGAGAAAATCCAAGTATATTAACGCAGAACTGCAGCAATTTTTGTAGTTTTAAACTGAATTTCAGAACTGTTCAAAGAGAATTTTAGACTATACTTGATATAATTAAAAACATAAATTAGATATACATCATTATGCGTTTACCTCTGAATGGTATATTTCAAGAAAAGTTAGTACCATCAGATTTGCCACCTTACAAAATTCTGAATGGTCATTTACCAATGTAGAAAAATTTTCTACTCCCAAAATTAGATAGTTTCAGAAATACGTGCCCTGTTGAGATGGCAAAAAATGGCTTGAGTAGAAGTGATAGGTGTAAAAAATGGTTACAGCGATAATGAAATTTACTAATATCAGCTTATTATTTGAGTGGTAAAGAGGTTACATTCATTTTGAGCTCTGTAGTTTCGTTTTCTTCTTTTGCTGTGCACCTTCTGATTTTCGTTTCTTGGGCGTCACTTGCCTATCTCCCTTTGCTGATTTATCACTATCATCAGTCCAACAAACTTTCTTTTTCCTAGTTATCAATGGCTGTTCATCTTCATTTACTGAAACAAAGCAGAACGTTATTCATCATGAGTATTTAAGTTCAATATTTGAAATCTCTGCTGGCATGAAGTACATATTTATTTCCCCCCATTTAAAAAAGAAATTGAAACAGAATGAGCTCTATAATCTATTTTAGTGGAAGAGAGGAGAGTGCCATGTATGTTACTTGGTATGCAATGTCCAAATATCAAGTGAGCAAGTAAATGTATTTTAGATGGTCATGCAGGACTGCCAAGTAAAAAAATACTGGGCTAGATTTTCTAAGTTAGACCCATGATATTGGGTAAATACATCTGTCCACACCTACACACCTGACATGCAAGTGACCTATTAGAGACGCAAAACTGCATTGAAAATCTGACCCAACAGGTTTAAGAACCCATGCACAGCATACTGCCAGTCAAAACCAGTACCCTAAAAGCCTGAGCATTTTATTTACCTAAATATTACCACATTAATTCTTACTTAAAGGTGCTTAGAGAACACTGCAGAAAATTAAGATTTTGGTCAGACTAGCTGTGACCCTCAGAACACCCCAATGCCAGATGGCCAGGGCCTCCCTGGCATATAAAAGTAAATCTCAGCTGGCCTGACCAGCTCAATGAACTTCACACACTTGTCATAATATTAATTTAAAAGGTATCTTGTAGTGTATCACTGGAAAACCAATAACCCTGCTGGTCATTAATATCACTGTGAAATGTGTGCAACCAGTGGTTCTCAAACTTTAGTATTGGTGACCTCTTTCACATAGCAAGCCTCTGTTTGTGACCCCCCCTTTTAAATTAAAAACACTTTTTTACATATTTAACACCATTATAAATGCTGGAGGCAAAGTGGGGCTTGAGGTGGAGGCTGATAGCTTGCGACCCCCCATGTAATAACCTCATGACCCCAGAGGGGTCCCGACCCCCAGTTTGAGAACCCCTGCTGTAAGCAGACAAAAGAGAAAGGCCAACACCTCTTTGGCTCAACTGCAGATTGAACCAGGTGTGACAAGGACAATGAGCCATTCATTTGCATCAGAGATTGCAGGAATATTATTTGCATTGTAAATCTCAGGAAACTGAGAAATTGAAACGGCATCGGGTTCCTGGTGGAGACAGAATGTTGAGCCCCCAGGAAGGCTTCTTGGCTTTGAAGACAAAGACAAACTTTGGAGATATAAGGAGTTGCGACAAGACTTTGGGATATTCATCACCCAAGACAGCAAAGAAGCCAGCGCTTTGTATCTATGAAAGATGGGTCCTCCTGTTACAAGAGGCTGCAAAATGCTGACAAAAGAACTATGTTACGCAAAAGCCATATCTTGCTAGAATTAAGTTGTCGACACTGGAAAGTGTGTTCTTTTTGTTTTGTTTGTAGCCCTTTCAGACCTCTTTCACTTTTGTTTGAAATCACTTAAATCTATGTTTTTTGTTAATAAACTTATTCTCCATTTTACTACGAACCATTTGTGCTGTGTATTATGGTGGAGTGCGATCCCCCCAGCTGAGCTGACAAGCGGTTTTGTGTACTGGCTTTTTGGAGGCAGCGAACTTGCTGTTATCTCTGTGAGTGTCCAGTAAGAGGGACTGGACACTGTAGGGGAGATGGTTTTGGGGAGACTTGGGACTGGAAGGTTGTTGAGTCACCCTACAAGGAGCAACTGGACTGGTGGAAGCCAGGGTGAGACCATTATACTATAGCATGCCGCTGGTGTCAGGGCTCTGAACCAAAGCTGCACTCTAGAGGCACCCAGGGTTACAGGGCAGACAGTGACAGAACCCATTAGTGGTCTGGGTGGACATCCAAAGTGTCAGACTGGCATGTTTCAATAATACAATCAGCAAGTAGTGTCATGTGTATTTGAGAAAACTGTATATTTTTAGCTGGGAAAACTTAATCCTTCAAGTGGGTTCCATTTGAAAAGTGATTCTGCAAAATGCCGTTATATGGTTGCTTATTTATTGCGTCTTCAGTAGTTCTGGCATTACTGCTCCAGACTGAGCCCTGGTCTACAGTGGGGGGGGCGGGGGGAATCGATCTTAGTTACACAACGTAGCTGAAGTCGACGTACTTAGACCTACTCACCGCGGTGTCTTCACTATGGTAAGTCAACTGCTGCCGCTATTCCGTTGACTTCACTTGCACCCCCTCGCAGTGGCAGAGTACAGGAGTCAACGGGAGAGCTCTCGTGGGTCGATTTATCGTGTCTAGACTAGATGGGATAAATCAACCCCTCCTGGATTGATCGCTGCCTGCCGATCTGGCGGGTAGTGTAGATATACGCTAAGAGAGTATTAGGCCAGAAAGTTTGCACCGTCTATCAGTATGATGCCCTAAATAAGTGCTATCATGTCCTTTAGTTTTAACAGCACCACATTCATCCACAAAACATGCAATAAAAACTCCTACCTGCTCTCGTATTTTCTATTTTCTCACTATATTAATAGCACCTAAATAGGACTTATTTTCAACATAAAATAATCAGGATCCACCTCTGTTACCATAAGAAGAGGTTGCAGCGTTGTCAGGGTTCTCTTTGGTTTCTGAAGTTCTGTCTAGCCATACTGCTAGACATGTAAGCCTGGCTTTGGTATTGACTTCACATAGCAAAGATGGGCTATCCTGGATCTGAGGAAAATATAGAAACAGATTCATTAAAAGGTTATTTCAATATAGTTTAAGTCACTTAACCTGTATATCTACTTTTAAGGCTTTATATCTCCATGCCACAACTGTTAACTGTAGTTTTGTAATGCTGTCAGACAGATGGCTGCCTTAAGGGTACATCTTGAGGGGCAAGACAGGTGTGTTTTTTAATTACATTGGTTCCACTGAGAGAGCTCAACACAACTCAAATCATTAGTTGGCTGGCTGTAGCCTGGGTGAATCTTGGCTACAACAAAGCTTGCTAGTCTGCAACTTAATGGGGCTCAATGGTGTTAAGCTAATATGACTGAAATATATCCCACCCCCAGTTTATTTCCTCAAATACAGGGTTACAACTGGTTACAAGTAACATGGTTCAGTGTATGTGCACACAGCAGCTTTTCTGTGATCACAATCACATTTGTGTATCTACATCTACCATACTGCTTAACTGTGTTTGTATCAGTGCACTTTGGGACAATCTGGGCAAACATTCCATAATATCTCATCAAGACAAAGTGTGTCCTGAGGGGACACGCAATAGCAGCCCATGAAGCACTGCACTTTGGAATGTCCTACCACACAGAGAGCTGGGAGGAGGAAGGAGCAGGCCCACCAGTTACGTAAACATGTTTAGGACAGCTGCTCTTTGGGGGAAAAAGCATGCTGAACCAGTAACAGTAAAACAACCACGTGCCAGCCTTGGTCTCTGGCTGAAGCCAAACAAACACTGTTAGCTGCCATGGTTGCTGAGCTTTAACAATATTGTTTGAATCTTGGAATGTGAACTTCTTGGATCAGGGATTGTCTTTTGTGTCATTTGTACAGTGCCTAACACAATGAAGCCCTCTTTGCGGTCCTTAAGTGCTACAGTAATAACAATAATGATGAAAAAAAGTGAGGACACAACCCACAATTAGAGCCAACCAAGGCAATAATTGGCTACAAACTTGGTTAAAAATTGTAGTGAGAACGGGGCCTATCACATTTCAATGAAGAATGAATAATTTATAAACCTTGGCTAACTACAGTTACTAAAACTGTTCACCTTTTGCATCCTGGGAAAACGCATTCGGATAAAAATGCAAAAGACACATTCTGAAGTGATTTTTTTTTCTGCTTCGTCAAAAAATAAAATGTTTGAATGAACACTGGAATAAAAGTGCTCAATATAAAATTGAAATGCCTGGTGTATCACCATCTTTGATTTTTTTCAGTCAAGACTGTATTTTTCCCCTCTTGAACACAAAAAGTAAATAATATATTTTGCGTTTTTAAAGAATGGTGTTAGTCATCAACATTACAAAAGATTATAGTAACCACCAAAGCATAAAAGATTGATTAGGAAGCTATAAGAGTGGCCAGTTAGAAATCAGGGAGAGCATAACCTTGCACGAGATGGAGGGTGAAGTTACTTGAGAATTTCAGAGATTTTTTTTTAAATCACCACTAAAAATTAAAAGTTTTAAAGTTATGGTAAGAGGAATTGATAGCCAAAAGATCTAAGTGCGCATATATATATAAAAATTTGCCGATAAACATGGTGAGGAGGAAGTTCATAATTTCTAGTTTGCAAACAGGTTTATTCAATATTTAAAAATAATTTATAAATGCATGTGTGACACTGCACCCCATATTCTTCACCATGATATTATTATGATACGATTATGACATAATCATAATGATTTTTTGCAAGATAAGTCATGTGAGGTGTCATTGGAAAGGTTATAGTTTGCTGAATATGATTATCCTATTTGTATGCATGTTTCATTTTTGTATCCAAAGTTATTAATATTGACTATATATCTATTTCACATGTAGCTATTCCTGGGCAACACCTACTAGGTAAAATGCTGTCAGTCTAGATAGCTGGCTGGCAAGGGCCCATTCAGGTTAATGAGCCATTAAGAAGAAACAACAGGCCTTAGGAGACGCTTATCTCCCACCTGGAGAGCCTTCCTGAGGACACTACAGACAGCCTCTGAGTAATGGCTGCTGTGACAGGGACATCTGACCAGGTCACCTGGTGCTGGTCTCCACCTTAGGATACCAGTATTTTTCCATTGACTGGCATGGGGAAACAAATTCTGAAACAGGGGAGTGACATCATCTTGGTTCTTCACTGACTCCCAACCCAAGAAGACTCCTGGAAACACCTAAGGAACAAAGACTGAGCTGGGGGAAGTGCTGGACCCAGGATAAAGGGATTTTTAGCCTGTGAATGGAACATCTGGGGATTCCAAGCTATAAACTAGTACAGCTTGCCCCCTAAGAATCTGCAGCCTGCTTGTATCATCACTTAGGGTGAGAATTTGCTATTCATATCCCCAATCTCTTTAGTTTAGTATATTAAGCTTAGTTTGTGTTTTTGTTTATTTGCAACGTAATCTGCTTTGATCTGTTTGCTATCCCTTATAATCATTTAATCTGTCTTTTTCAGTCAATAAACTTGTTTTTGCTGTATCTAAAACCAGTGTGTGGGAGTCATAACTCAGGGCATAAAGCTATTTTATATTCCTGTCCACATTGAGGGACGGGTCGAATTTCATGAGCTTACGCTGTACAGTTCCCTGCATAGCGCAAGATGGTATAATTTTGGGTTTACACTTCAGAGAGGGTGCATGCTTGAGTAGCTGGGAAGTTCCCTAAATGAAGCATTCCCATACAGGGCTGATCACAGCATCTGCATGTAACTGCAGCTGGGTGTGTCCATACCTGTATGTGTGCTGGTGAAAGTGCAGGACTGGAGCCTGGAGAGAGAGCTTGTCACAGCAATATAGTGTAAAGGGAGCCCAGGCTGGTGGGTCGGGGGGCCGCTGTGGTACCCTAGTTCCAGGAGGTACCCCGGTGCGGGAACCTGGCACAGCATGCTTTTTAAAAACCTAATGCTCACTTGTAAATTAGTTCTCCACAATTTTTCCATGAGTTGTTAATGTACTAACCTTATCGAGTTCAAGATTCCACAATTTAATGTATCCATCACTGGATGCAGTAATTATAACCTGTAGTCCTTCTTTTTCAAAACTGTAGATGTCTTTTATTCTAGAACAAAATATAATACCTGGATACTTAATAGCATGACAGGTGGCTTCAACTAATAAGGACAGATGGTAAGAAGTTGTCAGAAATTAAAAATCAAGAGAGAACATTCTACATGTCATATAGAGAGCCACAAACTATGGATGCTTCATGTGAATATTTTTGATTCAGGCATGTAAGATACAGTTCATGCACAAGACTAATCTGTTTTGTATTCTGCCATTTGGAGCAATATGTGCCTTTGAAAAATTCATGTTGAGGGCTGTTAGGACCTTGATTCAGGAAAGCATGTAAGTGCTTAATTTTAAGCACATGCTGAACACCCATTGACATCAACCGCACTTTAGCATATGATTAAGTGCTCTGCTGAATTGGCACCAAAATTAAGACAGAGTACTAGATATTTCTTTAACGATAAAAGGAACATATAAGACTTCCTTTTTACTGGCTTGGAGTCCAACTGTGCTATTTTACATGGGTGTCTGTTTGGACACCAGTGCAAAATTATAAATTGGTAACAGCCTCTTAGTCAATGCTTATGGGGATTCAGTAAAGATTAAAAGACTCCTTAGGCCATTTTTTAAATTTTTATTTACAGATTTAGAGACCAGAAGGGACCACTGTGATCATCTTGTCTGACCGCTTATATAACAAAGGCCATAACTTTCCCCAAAATAATTCCTAGAGCACATCTTTTAGAAAAACATCCAATCTAAAAATTAGCATTGATGGACAACTGTTTGTTAGTATCTGGTGTTGAGCAAGACTCATGGCTGCTTTGTGGAGAAGACCAGGAAAAGGTGCAGACACTACCAAAACAACTAAGTACTGGTACATGTTTGTCAAAACACCTGTGTGGACATTGTGGCTTGGGCTGGAGATCGGTTTCCCAAACTTGAGGGTTGAGGTGGACTTCAGACCCTGACCATGTCAAAGCAACCTCTACACGGCTATGTTTAGTACGCTAGCGCGAGCCCCGCTAGCATAGGTCTGTGGACCTGAGCTGAAAGACTCACTCCCACAATAAGTGTAGACATACCCACTGTGTTTTAGAACAGAAGTACATTCTTCCAGTGCAATTTGTTCCACCTCTTTTTCTGCTGTCTCCATCCTTTCTTGGCAATTTATACTTCAAACACACCTCCCTCTCCTTTCTTACATGCTTTGACTATCAGTGAAATATTGAACAATATAGATGATTAAATCATTATTATTGGGCATCTAAGCTAAGACCATTTAGATGAACGGAGCAGTTCACACCTCTCCAAGCTATAATATGCCTGCACCTGCAGAGAACTGGAAACATCTCTGCATTGGTTTACATTTGTTTCGCTTGTTTTCAAGGTTCTCTCCTCAACCACAAGGGCTTGAAATTTTAATTAAAACAAAAACAAGAGTAAGCTGAGATTCTGGAGAACAAGATAAAAAAATGCTAAGTACCATTTGGCATCCTGGTGCCAAGGATAGATTAGAAATGAAAAACCTGAAATCCTTACCACTGTTAAAAAGTAGTTCCTCGAGAACTGATTTGAGGCATACTGGTGGGACAAAATAGGTAATTCTGCAATTCTTGTGCTGTGCTGAAACTATTTTATGGATAAAAATTCAGAATCTGGAGGTATAAATCCATTTCTCTTTAGAATACATCCACGAAAGATGTGAGCGCAAACTCTTGTTGGAAAATATTGACATGGCAATTTAAAATCACATACACACAGCATACTGTATTTAACATATATAAAAAGACTTGCTTACATATTTTCCATTTTGCTGTCCTTCCTCCCAAGGCTTTTATATGGTATGTGGATAGTCCCTTCCACCTGACAAGGGGCTGACATGGATCCATCCAGACCATATTATTGTCAAAATCATCATATATCCAGTGGGTAGGTATTAAAATAAATTTCACACGGGGATTCCTTGATGTTTCATATAAAAAGAGGTGTACACTCACACTCAGTGAGAATGCACAAATCTGTATTGAATTTGCAACTCAGTACATCAGAAACAAGGCAGTCTACTTTCTATTTTAAAAATAAAAATAAACTGTATTAAGCCAAGATGTTCTGAATGCTGCCACTAACCAGGTAGTAGTGTGTATTCAACACTGCCATAAATTTTAAAACAATTTAACAGGACAAATATAAAATACCTGTTTTCATGAGCTTTAAATTCACAAAGGCACTTTTGTGAGTCGCAATCATACAGTCTTATAACTTCATCATCTCCGGCAATAGCAAGAACAGAATCCTTGAAGACAAAGAGAAGAAAATGCAAATGAGGCTAAAGAAATTCAAACAAGTTAGCTTTCCACCCCCTTCTTTTATGTACTTACTGTTATAAATCTAACTGAAGAAATTCTTTTCTCAGTTGTGATGGCACCACTGACAGATGCTGTTTCAAGTTTGTAGACATCCACTTTATTAGTTACGACCACCACATACTTCTCTCCACTAGGAGACCATTTAACTATGTGTGCATCTGAACAATTTTAAGTAAAAAACAACCAGAAAGAATGTAAGTTTTGCCTTAATAATAATTTTAAAACTCTGAATCTCATTCTCGACATTTTCACTCTGCAATCTTTAACATGCAATGTATATGACCCCAATCCTGCAAATATTTATGCCAATGCTTAATTTATTATCAGGAGTAGTACTATTAACTTCAATGATACTCATAGTAGTAAACGTAAGCATGTGCATGTGTGTTTGCAGGATAGAGGATTATATTACCACCCGGAAGGGGAAATAATATCAAATCTTCATATTTACTGGAATAAATCTACTCGTAGCAAAACAGATTTTTAAAAACATTGTTAGGTCCCAAAATTTAGGTTTTGTAAAAACAAGCTTGTACAAAACCCTACCAAAAATCAATGTTCCAAAGAACTAAAAACAGAAACTTCCGATAAAGAGTTATATTTTAAAAGGAACATTTTTCTGTAGTCTTTGCAACCCAAATTCATATTAGCGCATAAGAATCTAAAAGTGAGAATCTTTAGAAACTGTCCAGTCGATTTTTAATGTCCAAGCTGAAATAAATGCAGAAAGTAAACAAGGAACACAAATACTATTACTACCACTAACAGAATAAATAGCAAATTATTTTTTTTAATTTTTCCGTTTTGATCATTTAAAGTGTTATAATTAAAAGGGGTACAGAAAAAAAAAAAGATTTTTAGCCTTATTTCTTTGAGGAAAGAAATAAGATTTCTGCTGTAGTATTACTATACCCTGTCCATTGCAATTTCTGTATTCAGGACATGCGCCTTTGATCTTTAGTAAAAGGTAGAGCAGAGTGAATTAATTAAAAAGTCAAACATTTGCAAGTCAAAGGCTACCCTAGTGTAACTTTTAAACAAATACGCACATACACAAAAGGAACTCATCTAATTTTAGTTTTAATAAATATTTTGCAGATTAGATTGACACACTCACTTTGCTTCAGATTTTTGATGAAGGCAGATCGTCCTTCTACAAGATTCCATGTTCTGTAAAATACCAAAAAGGGATTGAATATGCATCACTTAAAATAGCACAGAGAAATTAAAGTACCATTTACTAACCATTGGTAAGGCTATGTTTTAGTCATGGGTATTTTTAGTAAAAAAGTCATGGACAGATCATGGACAGTAAACAAAAATGAATGGCCTGACTTGTCCATGACTTGTACTTTATACTCCTGACTAAATCTTGGGTGCTCTGGAGGTGGGGATTTGGGGGCACCACGAGTGCTCTGGGACTGCTGCAGGTGTTGGGAGGGGAAGGGGGGCGGGAGCAGCATGTGGCCGGGGACCCCGTTCACACAGCCCAGGACCACTGCTGGTGCTCAGGGGAGGGGAGGAAAAGGAGGGGCAGCACAGCCCGGGACTGCCACTGGCGTGCAATGGGGCGGGGGGAAGGGGGTGGCAGCATGTGCCTGGGTCTGCTGCTGGCGCTGTTCTTTAAAAGAATATTTTAAAATGCTGGTGCTATTTTTAAAAATGTAACAGTCTGCACTCCTCTCTAGAGCAGGCCATCCAGTCCTCCTCCCAACACCAATCTCTTAGCTTTGTATTCTTCCCTGAAAGGTTGGCACTTGTTCCACATGCAACTGACATCACTCTTGAGGCTAACAGAAGACGTCAATCTAGCAGTTTGATAAAGGTGGGCTTCCCTACTCTTTTGGGTTAAAAGGCCAGTTTTGTATACTACAGAGTCAACAGGATGAATATTAACTCTTTAATATTTCAATGGAGCTAAGAGGAAATTTCAAAGTGCTAGGTACAACTACACTATAGAAACTTCACAAGTATAGCTATATTACCATAACTATGTCGGCATGACCCCCTAGTATTGATGCAGACTTGATTGATGGAACGCCTCCTCCCTGAATGATGGTTGCTATGTTGACGGAAGCCCTCTTCCATCAACATAGCTCCATCTACACTGGGGGTTAGGTTGGCATAGCTAAATCGGTCAGAGGTGTGTGGGTTTTTTTTAGAATCCCTGACTGACATAGCTATGATGACCTAATTTAAGTGTAGGCTAAGGCACAGAGGTACTAAGTGAAATTAAAAGGTACATATTGATAGACCAGGAATCCTGCAAGTGTGAAAACATACACAGTTACATAGGTTAACTGACAGCAGCATCACAGATGCTTCCCTGGTCCTTGCTTCACAATCTAGCCCCAGTGTATAATCCTTTCTTATAATTCAATGAGATCATTTAGTAAATTTCACTAAATAAGATTTTCAGCCAATTTTGACTCACCTTAATGTTTTGTCTGTTCCTACTGACAAAGCTAATTTTCCAGACGGGTGAATAGAAAGAGATGTCACATGCCCCCTAATAAAGTCAACAACAAAAAAAGTTAATCATGTATTTTCTTTGTCACATAAATAACCAAAAATATCTAAAAAGAAGCAGTTCAGAAGACTCACTTATGTGCTTTAATGGATTTCAGACATTCCCATCTCTTTGTGTCCCAAATACAAATTAATCCATCTTCTGCTCCACTTAATAAGTGTGCATTCCCATAGAACTCCAGGCAAGTTATCGTGCCTACAGATCAAGATCAGCACTATTAATCTACATTATGACATCTTGAATAAAAATACTACACAAAAAATAGTTTTATATAAAACGTCAAGATATTCACTTAAAGACATGCTAATATTTTAAAACTTAATTGCATAATTTCCAATAGAGTCACACACATGAAATTATATTTTGAAGTTCAAAATGAAAGTCACTTAAATTGTTTTCATTTTGCATCACACCTATAACACAGTTACCTTTTTACATAATACATGTCTAGGAATTACAACACTGTAAGCACACCTCATACATAATTTGCAAAACTAACGCATGCACAAAACATGCAGCAATACCTCTGTATCTGTGAAAGAACAGACTGCTTCCAGCATCCAAACATGCCAGCCTTTTGTTCTACTTGTTAGATGAAACCTGGCTTACTTACTACATATTTCTTCATAAAAATAAGTTTAATTACCATATTTAAAAATCACTGATGCCCCTCTCTTGTCCTTGTCTGTAGTAGCATACAATTTTGAATTCTGTCTGATCCCTCACTCTCTAACGTTAAGTCACATATGCATTTAATAATTCCTTAATCCATTTCAAATGTATCTCAACTAAGGCACCATTAAAAATTGACAGTTCTCTGTTACAGAAACACACCCATTAGTAAATCATGTAATTAATACCTCTAAAAAGAAAAGTTCCCTTACCATTATGATGAAGCAATGCCCCATGTTCTATCTTCTTTTTCATGTCATATATTTGGATCGTTTCATCTCTGCTACCGGTGACTACATATCTGTTATTCACAGCTACTGCTGATAATGAGGCAGTGTGGGCATGATGGGTAAAGTCAGGGATAGGCATCCAGTTCTGAAAACAAAATATAAAATGAACCTTTTTTGAAACACAACCAGTGTGATATGTTCTAACTTGTCTATGATCAGATTATAAATATCACAGTATAAGACTAATTTTGAAATAGCAAAAACTAGCCATGTTCATTTTGCTAAACATACAAAAACGTTCTATTCTGTTACAAATCTAATGGGAACCTGTGAAGGATGTTTCCTAGTGGTCACTGTGTGACTAGACCATCAACCTAACAACTCAGATGTATTGCTCTAAAGAAGCAACAAACTCAGAAGACCAAGGAGGAAGCAGCAGAATATACTAAGCTTTTGGCTAAGAGAATGAGGGAGGTCAAAGAAAAACGCCAAGAGCAGATAGCCAAGAGACGACGACTATCCTCATTGAGGGCCTCTACATCTAAATCTGAGTCAAGCCAAAAGTAAAACATGTAAATGATTAAGAAAATAAATCTTTTATGGTGACCAAACCCCCCCCCCCCACAACTTCTCCACTCTCCAGAGCTTCCCTTGTGACTAGTGATGCAGATGGATTGGTGCTGTGTGGAAAAAGGTTCTACGGTTTCCAGAAGAAAGAGATAAGTTGAGGCTCTTAGGAAAATCCAAGCCAGTCCTCCCCTTTCTCCTTCACCACTTTGGCAATGACTGCCTAGGAAGGAGTACTGCGGAAAGGAATCAAGGGGTTATTCAGTGGATCACAAGCTAAATGAGAGTCAACAGTAACACTGTTGCAAAAAAAGCAAACATCATTCTGGGATGTATCAGCAGGACTGTTGTAAGCAAGACATTAGAAGTGATTCTTCCAATCTACTCAGTGCTGATAACACCTCAACTGTGTCCAGTTCCGGGAGATACATTTCAGGAAAAAAGTGAACAAATTGGAAAAAGTCCAGCAGAGAATAACAAACATTATTAAAGGTCTAAAAAAATGTAACCTGTGAGGAAAGATTGGAAAAACTGGGTTTGTTTAGTTTGGAGAAAAGTAGACTGGGGGGAGGCAGGGATGATAACAGTTTTCAAATACATAAAAGATTGTTACAAGGAGGAGGTGAAAAATTGTTCTCCTTAACCTCTGAGGATAGGACAAGAAGCAATGGGTTTACATTGTAGCAAGGGAGATTTAGGCTGGACATTAAGAAAAACAGGAGGTTGTGGGATCTTTGTCAATGGAGGTTTTTAAGAACAGGTTAGCCAAACACCTGTCGGGAATGGTCTAGTTATTACTTTGTCCTGCCTTGAGTGCAGAGAACAGGACAAGCTGACATACTGAGGGCCCTTCCAGTCCTACACTTTTATGATTCTATATTCTTGACATCTCCCTCTCCACCCTTACTATGCAGTCTTGATGCTTCCCTGGGTAGCTGAAGTAGAGGTGATAAACTGTGGAACTAATGTGCCATTAGTTGCAATCATACAGTTCATTCTGCAGGTATATTCGACCCCGCTGTGTCTGTCTTTTCTAGTTAGGGTGTAAACGCTTCAGAACACAGACCATCTAGTGTTCTGTCTGGGCAATGCCCAGCAAAACAGAGCCCCATTCTGGGTTGGTTGTTAGGTATTAAGGACCGGAATAAACGTACTAAATAATAATCATAACAAGTGTGGCGCTCTGTGCCCCTCTAGAGGTAGCTGGGCCAAAGAGAGCGTGGCTATGCCTACTGCAGCCGGGTAACCCGGGCGGCAAAGGCTCCTGCTTTTAGAGCCCCGCAGGGGACAAGGCCCCCAGGCATGCGGAGTTGCACCAGCATGCGGCTGGGTCCAGGGGCAGGGAGGGCTGGCAAGGAGCTGGCGACGGGCAGCGAGAGCGAGGCGCAGTGTTGGCTGCCTGTAGCGGGCACCAGGCAAAGCTCCCGGCACCCCCTGCTGCAAGCCGGGCCCCGGCGCTGATCAGATCAGCTGCGAGCAGCCCCGCCCGGCCCGGCCCGGCTCGGCTCACAGCTCGCTCCAAGCGCTCACCGCACCGGCCCCGGCCGCGAGCGCCCAGCAGGGGGAACCCCTCGGCGTCGCGGGCGCGCGGAACCACCCTGCTTAAAGCCCGCGTGGAGGCGAGCAGCGGCCGGGGCGCGCGCGCGCACACCTCCGGGGTAAGTTACTGGGGGGCCCCCAGCAGCTGCCGCCCCGGCGCCGTTACCTCCGCCGGCCGCACCGCGAACCCGAAAAGAATCTGCTCGTAACAGCCGCCGACTAGCTCCATCTCCCCGCCGCGACCCGGGTCCTCCTTCCCCCACGCTCGGAGGCGACGCCTGGGGTCCTTCCAGCCACCCGTCGCAGGGGCTGGCCACGCACTGCCTGAGCCGGAATTGACAACGCCCGGACACCCCCGAGTCCGAGGCCCACCCCTCGGGTTTCCTAGCCGGGGTGTATCCCTTGGAGTCCCCGAGTCGCATAGGGAGGGCGCGGGCTGTGGGCGCGGTAGGGCCCTGGGGTTGGGGTTACAGGCGTCGCTGGGGCCAGCTCAGCGTGAGGTCCCGGGCGGGGGCGGAAGTAGGACCCGTACGGCTCCTTATGGCGACGCCGTGGATGGGAGACGTTAGTGCCGGGACCGGGCCGGGGGGGGGCTCGCGAGCGGGGGGAAGCGGGTGGGCTTCTCTCGCGCGCGCTCCCAGGATTATCGCCCCCTCCCCCTCCTGGGGGTGTGGGTCTGGGTCTGGGTCTGTCCTTCCCCGGGGCCTTTCCCGGAGCCGCCGCCCCTCTCCCCCCCCCCCCCCGGCGGGCGGCTCCCCCCCCCCCCCCCATGGCAACTCCGTTCTCAGCTCCGCCCGCTGACCCCACTCCCGGGAGGCCGCGGGGAGTGACGGGGGGAATCCGTCCGGGGGACCGTTGCGGGTCGGGTCACTGCCCCCGGGGTCAAACGGCGGCCCTGGGTCAGTGAGTGAAAAAATCCCCCCCCCCCCCCCCCGACCCTTTCAACGCTTCTGCCCGGGGCTCTTTGCGCCTTGGCCGCGCCACACAAATACCGTCACGCGCGCACACCCCGGGCAGCAGTGGCGGCGGCAGCAGCTTCCACGCGCCGGCCAGGCAACTATAACCAGCCCCCCTGAGCCTCGCCCAAGGCACCCACCCCTCCCCATCCCGAGCGTGACCCCTCTGTGTTACTGTCTCGTGACGTACAGCTTCGAGGTCTTAAACGTGCCTCTGAATATGTGATTCACTGGCCATGGTTTTTCCATTTTACTATAAAGTCAGAAAAAAGAACAGGAATTAAGGATATTTATGCAACATTAATCTCATAATGGTCCTTTTTTTTTTTTGTTTTTTTTGTTTTTTAAATGGTCTTACTTTTAAAAATCTTTCCTTCATGCTACTGCCTGAAAAAGTTAGGCTTGGTCTACACTAGAAAAGTTTTACTGATAGGACTTCAGTTAGCGGGTGTGATTTTTCCACCTATACAGCTATAAGCCATATTTTGGATGCAGTTAGACATGTATAAAAGTGCTTTATACTGGTGTAGCTTATTTTCCTTCCCAACCCAGAATAAGTTATACTAGTCTAAGCATTTTGACACAAATATAATTACATTCACCCTAAGGTATTTTTGACATTTTAACTACATGAGTATAATTAAAGAGACAAAACTTTCAGATACATACAAGCCCTTATGTGCATGCTTAAAGTTAAACATGAGTAGTCCCATTGAGTAGCCCTATTGGAGTCAAATACTTGAAGTTAAGCATGCAAGTCTTTCCAGGATTGGGACCTTAATTAAATGGTAAATTACCTATGTAGCTAATGTTAGTATGAATAAATGATGTATCCTATTAATGTGTATACCTCTAACTTTTTAAAAAATTTGTTTTGAATTGCAGTGAAAAGATCAAATGACAACTATCAAGCTCAGAGAATAAAATACCAAAATTATTGTTTCATATAGAAGACCATGATAACTGTGATCAAGATATTATTGCATCACTTTTTTTTCTGACTCAATTTTTCTGCGGTCAAATTGCTTTTTTATTGTGCTGCAGCTTGAATTAAATGTTCACACAGAGTGGTAAGTCCAAAAACAAACCGCATAAATGGTCACAAGTAAATTGGACAGTTTTTAATCTAAAGGCCTAGTATTAGAACTTTTTTGATTTTATTTTTTTATACAAAAGTGAAATTTTGTTGGCTCTGTCTCTTTAAATAGCAGAACTATAGTAAAACCTTGCTGATGCACATTTTGCTAATCTGTGCATTTCATAATTTGTGCAAAATGACATCCATCTGTATCAGAAAAGAGTTAATAGTAGAGTGCTGTTGTAAAGTCTCCCATATTGTTAAAAAATTAATTGCTGAAATTCAAAGTGAAGTGCTGCTCCTGAAAAGATTAAAGCAGTGGTCTCCAACCTTTTTATGCCCAAGATCACTTTTTGAATCTAAGCGTAACCCAGGATCCACCCCTTCCCCAGGCCCTGCCCTGCTCACTCTCCCCCACCTTGACTCACTTTAACCGGGCAGGGGGTTGGGGTTCAGGAGGGGGAGTGGGCTCTGGGCTGGGGCCAAGGGGTTCACAGTGTGGGAGGGGGCTCTGGGCTGAGCGTGGGGCGGGGGTATGGGGTGCTGGCTCTGGGAGGGAGGTCAGGGCTGGGTCTGGGATTGGGGTGCAGGATGGGGTTTGGGGTGCTGGCTCCAGGAGGGGATTGTGGTGTGGCCTGCCGCAGGGTAGCACTTATCGTGGGTGGCTCCTGGTTTGCGGTACAACAAGGTTAAGGCAGGGTTCCTGCCTGCCCTGGTCCCATGCTGCTCCTAGAAGGGGCCAACGCGCTCCTGTAGCCCATGCGGGGGTGGGCAGAGGGCATGTAGCTCCGAACACTGTCCCTCTCTGCCAGCACCGCCCCCTCGGCTCCCATTGGCCCCAGTTCCCCATTCCCGGCCAATGGGAGCTGTGGCGGCAGCGCTTGCAGGCAGGAGCAATGTCACGAGACCCCTGCCCCCCCCCCAAAAAAAGGGGGGGCCGTGGGGCTGTGCTGGCCGCTTCTGGGAGCGTGTGGGACCAAGGCTTGCTCCCTGCCTGCCTAGCAGCAGCCCCACAACACCACCAGAGATCGTGATCGATTGGGGGAGTCCCCAGGATCGACCAGTCGATTGCAATTGACTGGTTGGCGACCACTGGATTAAAGCATGTGAATGACTATTCATGTGAATAGTCCCACTGAAGTCAGTGGGACTACTCACCTCTTACAAAGTTATGTGTGTGTTTAAGGGCTTGTCTACACATGAAAATTAATTTGTCTTAAGGCACGTTGTGAATTTAAAGGACAGTTGCTGTTCCTGAATAATTCCATATGTAGACAAGCTAAGTCTTCGCAGTACCAGGGTTTTAACAGTTTTCAAACTGAGTTACTATTGTGATTTACTAAATTCACGATAGTTCCCCTAGTCATTAGAATGAAAGATGTACTATGTATTTTGCCACATAGATCCCACTTTAGGGTAATATGTTACAAAATCTGTTATGTGGAATAATACGCGGTGAAATTTCATCAGGCAAGCATTTATTAAAATGTACAAAGTACTGAATGTAAAAATCATTTGCAATGGAGTAACAGAGTTTAAAAAAATTGTTGTGAGAGAAAGTGCTGTGTGCAGTGACATGCTCTTATCCCTAACATTGTTTGACTAGTGAGGTGATTTAAAAGAAAATACACAGTGAATAGCTATTTCAGATTTTCCTTAAAAATTGTATAGAGCAAGTGAGTGAGCTAAAGGGAAAAGGCATTGAAACTAATGACATAACTGCACAAAGCTGTAGCCCTAGCATGGGCCTTTGGCTGCTATTGTAATACAAATAATAATGAGAGGCTAAATTCCTAGGTGCTAAATGGCTATGTAAGTTACAAGTCAGTAAGAGGGTGAAATTTACATACCAAGCTGGCAGAAGGGGGGTAGCTAGAAAAGATACAGGAGGGCAAAATTCTCCCTCTGCTTTACTTTATACTGTCTTGTTTCTTTTACTGCAACAGGTGCCTCTTCCATATGTACCACTCTGCACTCTCTTATTGATTTGTAATTTACACCACCAACCAAGGCACCTTTGAATTTGGCCCAAAGAGAGGAAGAACCAAGAAAACCTCAAAGGCCCATAAAAATGAGCTAGCTATCTTTTTAAGCTTTTGGATAATAGATCTTTCCTCACTTCTAAGCTGACCTTATATCCCCCACCAACCAAACACATGTTTAAAATAATAGTAGGGTGTGGTGGAATAAGAATAAAAACTCACAACTGTCCTCTAGAATAGAGAAGTTGAAAGATAATTACTGGTCTTGGTGAATAGAAAGGATATGTCTGGTCATTCCAGGTTATCCCCAAGTCAAGCTGTGTCATGATATGATGCAATGATTATTTGATCCACAAATAATCAATGGTTGCCAATAGCAGTGGTCTGCATAGGTGTATTAAGGTGAGGCTTTTGCAATGCAAGTCTGAGCTCTGGAACCTTTCAAAATTCCTCAAGTTAAATCTCTTAAATCTGATTTAAGAGAAGGTGAACAAGTTCTTAGCTGTGCAGCAACCATTTTTTTTTTAGTTGAATTACTTTTCATAAAAGCTTCTCCTCTCCTCCCCTTTTTCTTTAAATAGAGGATCAGAATAAATTGTGAAGCAGTGCAGCATTCCTTGTGAAGAAAACTTCTGAACAGTGGCAAACCAGGTAAGATCATCTGGTGAGAACAAGTCAAGGTCCACAGTGCTTAGGAGGGATACTAAACCATATCCAGAATTCTTAGCAAATATAAAACTAAAATAGTTTCTCTGAGTAGGTGGATTCTAGCCCCGTGCTTCCTTCAGGTAATTTGCTAATTAATTACTCTCCCCTACTCTGGAAACCTAATTATATCAACTGAAGCAGGTTGGGGGACCTGACATGAAGCATTGTACAATGACTTCTCATTGTTTAAAAGTCAGTTCTCATGGAGGGGCTTGCCTGTAACACTCTCTGAGCAGGATATATGCAAGCACTCACACAGACATTAACGTTCTACTTCTAGTAAGTAAAATTTATTGATAAATACCAAATGTATTAACTCTTGGAGCCCTAAGGATGAGAATCCTCATTCTTAAGATTCTAAGGTGAGGAATGTGACCTGCGTTAACTCTACCATCATCTCCCTTCTTCTCTTCTCTTTGTAGTTGCCCTACCTCCTTCCTCTTTTTTGAGTGAGGCATGCTTTGTGCCTGTTTCTTCTTTGCCCTGCATCTGGGCATGAGTTCCCCTGGGCTCCAAACTAGAGTCTATCTGTCCCTCGCCTGCTTTCCCCTTGCATCACATCTACCAACCTCCTCTTGGTTCTTGGCCTGAGCGAGTGACTGACAACTAGCTGTGAGGAGAGGTGTCTCACAGCAGCAGGAAGGGAAAAGCTTCCAGCAAAAGGGAAGCAGGGCCAGTTGAGGCTCATTTTAGGCAAGAGTGATGACCTAGCTGTGTCTTTCAGTCACCCAAAAAAATGCTACTAGAGTGCTCTAGCACAGTGTTTCTCAACCTTTTTTATTCCAGTGACCAGCTTGCTGCTTTCCTAAACTGTGTCAGGAAGATTTCAGGAACTAGCGCTGGTCCACAGACTGGTCATTGAGAAACATTGCTCTAGCAAGTCCTACAGAACGCTTAGGCGCAGTCCGGTCCTTAAAGTGATTAACATTTAGGATTGGCCAGCATCTAAAGGATAACTGCTTTATTTTATTTTTTTTTAATTCCAAGAGGAAGCTTTCAATCCTTTAGCCAGCTTGACAAGTCAGGGGAATATGGCTGTTCATACAATCCTTTGGCTCTGTTATTTTTGCCAGGCATTTTCCCCAGAGGCTGCTTTCCCTCATGGGAGGCGGAGGGAGAGATGGGACCCCAGGCTTCTTTCAAGGGCAAGGTGAATATGGGGAAATCACCTGTGGTGATGGGGAGTGGGTGGGAGGAATTTAAACGAGACTAAGTACTATAAAGCTTTTTTTTTTCATCCCAGCAGGATACAATGGGAAAGCACAAAAGAGAGTCCCTACAAACCTATAGCTGGTGGAGAGGACCACAGAAAAAACGAAAGAAAAAGAACAAAATAAAAGCAGGAAGAACAGACTATGTTAGTGTTGTTAATCTTCCAATCAGGTAAAAAAACTCTTGAAACAGACCAAAAGAACAAGCCCCTGTCCATAATAATCCATTTAAATCAATAGTGAACACTGAACGAATTCTTTGAGATTCTTAAATGGAGGTTCTTATGTAAGTGCCAAGTATTGTTTATGCTAGTATATTTTGTAAAAGTAAGTCTTTGTAATGAGATTTCATTACACCACTCTGCTATTAAATCTTTGCTGAAATGTGAGTGACACCAATAGCGTATATTTTTGGGGTTATCTTTTTACTTAGTACTTTGAGATCCATAAACTATGCATTTATTCATTTGTTGCTGGTATTTTTATCACTCCTCTTCTTTCCTCTTAACTAAGACATAGTAAAATCCAATCAGAGTTTTTGTGTTTTTGTTTTTGTTTTGTTTTTTTTTTTTAAAAGGTGGATTGACTTGGACATCTGCTCACTCTCAAAGCAGAAGTAAAGCCTGTTTAGCTAGAGCAGTAGGCTGGACTCAGCTTTGAGCATATTGCACCACAGTGGTTGTACAGTACTACAAGATTTGGACCGATCATGCAAATGTGTACACTGCCAAGTACAATGATCACTACAGTGTGTAGTGCTATAGAAGACCATGGTGTTTGCAGGATTAGTCCCATAGTTATATGCAATAACTTAATAGCTTTCTGAGCAGTCTCTTAAGATTTCAATATTCTTGCAATCTAATTATTTATTTTCAATCCTTTTTAGACCAGATTTCTCAATAGTTGTAGGAGAGCTAACTCCTGAAGTGGATGATTTTCAGCTCTATGATTATTTTGTGAAAAGGTATCCTACATGCATTGACTGCAAAATAGCCACAGACCTATTGGGATACTCCAGGTAATTTTTACACAATCAAAATGCTGCTGATAAAAGGACTGTAGACTGTTATTTGTAAACCACTTTGTCAAACTTAAACCTGGATCATGTTTCTGTGTTTTTTCCCAAAGCAAAGAGAAGGTAGAACAGAGGTTAGAGTCTATAAACAAAGCAATATTAGAGGAAAATCCCTTGTGTGATTTCAAGTCTTTGTCTGGATTGGGCACGTAATAGGCTAAATTGTGATTTCACTAGGCACATATTTGCATTCCAGAAAATGTACCTGGGGAGGCAAAGAAGATGTACATTGAATTAATGGGGCTCTGTTCCTGCCCAGCAGTGCACCTACGCATAATCAAGTGTGGTACTGAGGGCTAAGAATTATCCCCATTTGTTGGATGGGGAAAATAGACAAGGGGCCACATAAACTTAAGTCAGTGGAGTTGAACCTGCTTATACCAGCAGCAAAAAGAGCCCAGAGAGTTTGTGACTTGCCCAGGGCCACCCAATGGATCAGTGGCAGGACTGGGACTATAACTCTTTGTTGCTGGTTCTCTATTAAGATCACAGTACACTTTGGGGGCAAGAAACACAAAATACGGAGAAAGTGAACTTTTCTTCTTAAAAGGCTAAGTACTGTAAATTGATAGCTCTTGGTTAACACTAATTGAGGATGTGGGTAAATCAGTTGCCATATACTCCATTAATATGATACACCGGTAACTACGTTATTTTTAATTAATTATTCTTTTGTTGAGAACCACCATTAAAAGAAACTTGCTCTATTAATCTGACTGCAGTCAGCTGTCAGTATTTGCTTTTTGACACAAGTTTGAGTTCTGAGAGAAAGCATTTAGCATGGGTGTTTAAAAACAAACAAAACAGGTAGAAAGCAAATATGTACTGTAAGCCATAGTAACTACAATGCTAAATAAGGGGTTTGTCTGCAGAAGACAACACTAAACTTATTAACTCTGTTATAATGCTGTGTATAGTGGAATTACTAAAATCTCTACATTTTGGAATTTGCAGGGGGTATGGCTTTGTCAGATTTGGTGAACAAGGTGATCAGATGAGAGCACTGCAAGACTGCCAAAATGCACCAGGTCTAGGTGGAAAACGAATCCGACTGAGTATAGGAATTTCTAAAAGGTAATGAATCAGTCTTGTACTGATGCAGGAATTAAAGGTAGTCATTAAACACTGGTAGCTTCACCTTGTCAAACCATATGCCATCTACTGTAATGGTGGTGTCATCCCATATTTCATGATATAAAGGATCTAGTTTTGCAGTTCTTCTATTTAGTGCTCCTCCATCTGCTTTTCCTGTCTGGTAACCATGAGGTACCTAGAGCCTGGCCAGAATTCTGGGGTAAATTTTTTCAAAAGCACCTAAATGAGCATGTGTTTAACTTTACTACTGTGAGTAGTCCCCCTGAAATCAATGTGGCTATTCATAATAGCAAAGTTAAGCACATCATAAGTTATTTCAGGATCCAGGGCCTTAGGGAGTAAATAAAGATTTTTCCAGTGAAAATAGTACCGGGTTTATTTTACAGTGATCTGGTGAAGTGAGGGAGCATTCTTAAGCAGGGAGAACAAAAAAAAAAAAAAGTCTATAGTACAAAAGCCAAAATCAGATCCCAAATGCGATATACAGAAAATACACCAATTTCCATCAATGTTCTTTGCTCTCCAAGGATTCCTGACTTTGAAGCTCTTAACATGCAAGTGAGGACTGTGAATCACTCTTAAAGGTTCCTTGTTCTGCCTCCTAAACTCTTGGTCAGTGATAGGCACTTTTTGAGGCAATCCCCGCTTTTACCAGTTAGGTTTGGGTAGATTGATATCAAATTGACATATGGTCTCATCCAGTACATGGGTGAAATAGCATGTAACAAAGAGGAGGAAAGCTCCTAAACATACATAAATTACCTCGCCTTATATTCCTGTTAATCCGTGGGAAATATCCAAAAATGAAGCTCCCTTTTCTCTTAAGTATACCCAGACCTTGTAAATATTACCTCTTTCCCTTTAAAGGAGATAAATCTTCTAATTCAAGTTGGCACTACCCAAAGCTGGTCTGAGAGCTAGATACCATTGTCTTCAAACTGTCAGGTTATGAACAAAATGTCTATTTCTCCTTTTTGAGGATCCTGTGATATGGGGGTATGTTTGTCTTTCACATCCCAAAACAGGATCAGTGTTGCATACTTAATAAAGAGTTTTGTTTTTTTTTATAATGTCCTTTCAAAAACTTCAGTGTCTTTCTTTGCTAATTTTGTCCTTGTCCATTTGGTAAAAATGACTTGATTGTTCCTATGTATAAAAACTGAGAAAAGATAACTTGGTTCAATTTGTTTATGTATCATCCTATTCTCTTGTAACACTAGTAACTGTCATTAAAGTGTGGGTGCAGCTTTCATGACAAATTTTGGAGTAACAGCCGTGTTAGTCTGTATTTGCAAAAAGAAAAGGAGTACTTGTGGCTCCTTAGAGACTAACCAATTTATTTGAGCATAAGCTTTTGTGAGCTACAGCTCACTTCATCGGATGCATATTGTGGAAAGTGTAGAAGATCTTTTTATATACACACAAAGCATGAAAAAATTTTCTTTCATTATTTTTTCATGCTTTGTGTGTATATAAAAAGATCTTCTACACTTTCCACAGTATACATCCGATGAAGTGAGCTGTAGCTTACGAAAGCTTATGCTCAAATAAATTGGTTAGTCTCTCTAAGGTGCCACAAGTACTCCTTTTTCTTTTCATGACAAAGGCACTTATGTGTAGGTCCTATATTGATTTATATTTCTAGTTTAGTAATGGCAGACTGGTTGACTTCTGTGCCTTTTTAAAAAAAAATAATTTAAAATCTGGAAGACATTACCCAGGAGACATTTAATCTGTTTCAAATTTAGGTTTAAACTAGAGGTTTTACTTTATTTTGGTTTATTTTAGCTTTGCTTTCTTGGTTAAGGTGCAGACTGTACAACTGGCTTTTCTGTGTCTGTGTAGAGAACTATGAAAATAAATGGGGACCTACAAGTACAGGAGTCTGCCTGCACAGGGCCACATTTAGAATTGGGTATTAAATATGGAAAATCTGATGTGTCTCTGGAATGTGCAATCAGTCCATCTGACTTCATTGTATAGTGTATAATGATCAATGAGTATCAGATGAATCTAAAATAGGGAGTTTTCTAATTTTTCTGAAGGAAAAAATTGTCAAACTATTTTACATTTCTTCCTTCACTCTATTAGTAAATGAATCAGGCTCCTTTTTAGAGTTTGTGCTTTTGCTGCTTATTCTCCACTTCTGACTTCATAAATTGTTGTGGCAATGATTGTTACAAACAAGATTATAACTTCAGATGGGAAAAAAAACCCTGGCAGCTGCTGAATGCCAAACCAGTCTCCGTGCAAAACAAGTTCAGGCGGAGTGTGTGTGTGGGAGGGGGGACATGTGAGGTGTGGTGTTTTTTTTTTTTTTTTTTAAAGAAATAAAATCCCAGAAGTTTCAGATGCTCCTTAAAATGTAATCTGTTATCTCTTTGGGATTTTTTGTTTTGTTTTTTTTCCCCCTAGAACAAAGATTTAGTAATTAGCCAAGCAAAACATAAAGGGCTAAATAAAAAAGAACGTAGCTTTAAAGCAGCTGTACTTGATAGCTGTTTGACAAGTACTACTTAACCAATTTATAGCAGAGCACTAGACTTTAGCTGCAGAAACTGTGTTTATGCTGACACTGAAACTTACTTTAAAGTAAATGGATAGAAGTAGTAATAGTTTCATGGATTTGGATTTTACCCAGGATAGTAATTACTATTGGTATTGGCAGAGGTGAGACCATTTACTTCTGTATAAACACAGATGAAAAGCACTGTGCAGTGATTTTCCTCACCCTTCCATTTCTGGCAACTTTTTCAGAGAAATGTTCACCATCATAATTTGATGTACAAAGACTTACTAAATTGTTTAATTTTAAACTAAAATCAGTTTACATCCAGTTCTTAAATTCTAATTATAAACTTTTAAATATGTTTTTAGAATGAAAGCAGAATTCCAGCGGTATCAGTCCTATAACTATAATGATTATTATCAAGATTATCAGAACTACTACTCACAGTGGGGTTACGATCCTTATGCTGATTACAACTATAGCTATCCTTCCTATGACAACATGCAAGCTGTTGGAGATTCTGCTATAGGAGACTCAATTCTGACTCCAGCTGTATTTGAGGTATTGATCTTACTGAATTTACATTGAACATAAGTTCTTCCCAAAATCTTAAATTACATAATTAATTTATAACAGAGTTGTATGTCATTTTCCCCCCTTCGGTTTTAACATGGAAACCATGCTTAAATCCTGTGATAATGTGTAAAATAAGGACTAAATGGCAGTCTGAATATCCAAGCCTTAATGTGATAAACTTCTCTAGTATTAGACCTCTATAATCCTCTAAATGTGTACCATTTGTCCTTGCATTATTTATTTATTTGCCAAATGTGATTCTGATAACATTATCTGTATGTAATTTTTTATCCTAATAAGTCTGTCCATAAGGCACATAGTTTAATTCTCTAGTTGTTCTAAGCCAGTGGTTCTCAAAGTTTTTTGTACTGGTGACCCCTTTCACATAGCAAGCCTCAGAGTGCAATTCCCCCCCTTATAAATTAAAAACTCTTGTTTTATATATTTAACACCATTATAAATGCTGGAGGCAAAGTGGGGTTTGGGGTGGAGACTGATAGCTTGCAACCGCCCCCCCCATTAACCTCGTGACCCCCTGAAGGGTCCTGACCCCCAGTTTGAGAACCCCTGTTCTAAGCCATACTTAACTATTAAATTGGCTTTCTCCTGAATATGTCTATTTTTTAGAAAGGAAATGGCTTGAGGTTGGAAAAACCCCATTTTTTTTACAGCTTTTAACTTTTTTTTTTTTTTTTTTTAAGTGAAGATGCATGCATTGAAAATCCTTTTTTCAGATAATTGAATGTAAAAATTTCTGGAGAACCTGGAATTGATAATGATTACACTTCTATAAAACTAACATAGACATATTCTTGTTTGTTTCAGGAGACCCCAACTGTGGCTGAAAGCAATGATGAACTAATAACTGAAGGTAACGCTAATGCTGTCATATTTCCAGATTGTTTGGTCCTAATAATGTCTAGTGTTATAAAATTTCTATACAAAACTGCTGACAAAGTAGTGCTAGTTCATGAAAAAGATCTTTACAAATGTTGCATTCGCATTTCCAAATGAGCTATTCTAAATACTGGCACAGAGGTCAACAAGTTGGGAATGTAACGTAATTTACATTGTATGTAAAATTAGGAGTTTTCAGACTTGGCACTCTTTATGACAAATGACTTTCTTCTAATTTGCTCTTACATGAAGACGAAATAGTCTTTTGTCCCACTCTGCTAATTTTCATCCATGTGTTATTGTCCACCTTATCATAACTTCTCTAGCTTTTTACAGCCTTGACTCTGCTTTAAAAAATCTCAGTAGAAAACAGGGTTCATAAATCTTTTACAGCATGTTTAATATCAGTACTGCTTAACAGAATCCTATTCTAAAAAGCAAAAGAGACATCTGTTATACATATATATTTGTACAGAACTCTTCCCCCTCATCCCAAACAAAGTGGGATGCCCTACCATTTATCTAACCATAATGGTATGCTAGCTTATGCCAGAGGGCTCTTCCCCTGCTTGAATTGCTGTTTATCATGATTGTCTGTCTGAACCTGACCAAACGTCAAAGTAAGACTTTGAACCTAACTCCTTCAGCAACTTTTCACCCTCATGCCTGAGACATAAGTGTATGTTGGATACTGGGATATTAGGAAAGCATATCCTGGCATGCATTTTCTCTCCTTTTTAAATGTAGGGGTAGTGATATTTCACAGGTTTGTAGCGATGGGTGTATAATTTAGGTTAATACCTTCAACAAGTCTGTGCATGTGTGTTTTAATATAATTGATTTTTTCACAAAGTAGTAATGTAGTCTCCATACTTTAACCCTAAGCATTAATGTAATTTAATGTTGGTTATTTTAAAGTCCAGATTGCAGAGGGTTTTTTTTGGTGGTTGTTTTTTGAGTTGGAAAGTTTGGTGTAATGAATAACGGTAACCACATGTCACATATGAAGCTCTTGCCATTAATTTTTGTGTATGTGCCTGTGTAGGTCTTCAGTGCTGGGTTCAATTTTTTTTTATTTACTGGGTTTATTTTTGCAGATCCACAGCTCCATCTGGATGTTGATGAAATGAACAGACAATTTATGGAAAGAAGTGAAGAACTCTATGACTCACTCATGAATTGTCATTGGCAGCCTCTGGATACGGTCACCTCTGAAATCCCTAATGCTTTCTAAAAGTGTCTTACATGAATATATAGCATGACCGTTATGACCAAGGTGCTAACATTACATTTCTTCTACATTACTCTAGACCATAAGTTTTAAAGCACAAGGATGGGTTGTTTTGCTAAGCTTTTGACAGCCTTTGTAATTTTTGTTCATCACTCTACTCATGAAGCATCTTGAAATCATGTAAATATTCTAGAAATGTAAAGAGTTGAATAGAATCTCAAGATAGACTTGCTTGTGTAAATAAAATCTCGTTTCTGCAAACCTGTCAGTGGGGAATTTCGCTTCTTCACATGTAAGCGATTGGTACACGTTCTCTTTTGGGCTTGCAAAATCCAAATGGTCTCCTTGTTTCCATAACTTTCTAACTTCTATTTTGGAACTGACACCATGCTATAGAATGGCTATAGCTAGAGTGAACATTAGATCTAGCACCAAATAAATATAGATGTGAACATATTCTGAAGATGCTGTTGGCTCAGTTAGCTAGCAGCCAGCAGTGTTGGGGACTCCCACACTTGGGAATGGAGCATTCATTCCCATGGCTCTCCTGCAGCCTCCTGATACTGAAGAATTGCAGTTGGGCAGCCACTTGCTCCATTATTGGTTTTTGTTTTTTAATAAACGAATTTAAACTAGTTAGAGGCATGCTTAACTTATGCAATGATGTGCAGCTGGGGCAGTTGGCATCTGGCACTCCTGTCCTCCTATTTAATATACTGTCTGTCAGCAGTCCACTTTTATTTGTATAGTGTTTAAAGGTTCACGGAAACCTCTGAAAATATCCTTGACATCTGACAGTTACTTATATACAGAGAGCCCAATATATACCATATTATGTATCCTTATAATCCTACTGTGAAAACTCATTCTTTTGTACCTTGCTTTCCTCACTGCATTTCTCTTTTTTGGCCCTTTGGCATGGAAGTAAATTGTACCAACTCAAATTTCTGTTAATTTTAGTTAGGGTTCCTTACGCTCAAACTCTGTGCCAAGTTCAGTTGTAACATGCAAAGAGAGGGGGTGTACATTACATTTTAGTAAAAGGCTATACAGAGACTCCGTCTGGACTTAAATGTTCTCATATTCACACCCTGTATGTTGGGGGAGCTGGAAGAAGATGTGTATGTTCCTTCATTTCTTTCAGTTGGACTCCGAATCGAAGGAGTCCAATTGAAAGACTTCACTACTTTTATATAGGACTTTAATCCTTAAGGACAATAAAGTATGTTGCAGGTACAGGGATCCCTTCACTGTGTGTGTAGTTTGGGCCTGAAACTGAAGAATAGTTCTTAAGGGCCCTGTGAACAGAAACTACTGTCATTACTAATTTTTGCCAGTATTAAGACGATGGAAGGTGCCATGAGTCTTTTAACTATCACAAGTAATCAGGATCTCACTTTCACATCTGATCCTGGCACCAGCAATATGACATGCTTGTTTTATGATGTTGGTGGGAAGGTGGTCATTCTAGTTTGTTAATTGTCTCTATTATGATTTACAACATAAGTGAGGTTCATAAACCATGTACTGTATCATTATACATTTTTAATAGCTGATAAATACAATAGCTGTTGAATCAATGATTTTGTTTTAAATAGTGCCAACACCTAATCATTGACAGTTAATTCCTTGTACTGTAGCCAATGGTGAATTTGGTTCTGAAGTGCAGGGGGGCTTAAATTTAGTTTTATGACTTGATTTGTATCAGATTGAAGCTCTGAATCTTGAGTTTTCTGATGATTTGTTAAAAACAAAGTGATCAAAACAAAATCTGGGAGGGCTGCCTAAATGGCAAGCAATAGGCCAATTGCATAAACCAGAAGGGGTTCAAATAGCCCTCCCTCCTTTAAGGGGCTGAGTGGTGAGACTTTGCAGACTTGATTTATTGTGCTGTTTCTGAACAGACCAGTAGTAGCAGCTGAGAAGAACAGGCTGCCAAGGAATGCAACAGTAACACGAGTACACGCTCTACCCACAGTGCTGTCTTCATTTTTCCCCTCACTACTGAGCGTGCCCCATGCCACTATTGGCTTTTCTGAGTGCTGACCAGAAATTTCTGTTTCTTCTTTATCTCTTACTTGCTGTTGGGATGCTCTCCGAGCCCTGCCACTGCTTGGCAGATAGGAGGCATCTTCCAGCCATAAAGTCTCTCATAGACCTGCAGGAGGCTCCCTTACTCTCCAGCTGTTAAGCTGTGACAGTGGAACAGGACCGATAACGCAAAGAGCCTCCTGTATGGCAGGGGGCGCAGCAGAATAGAGTGCCATCACCAGGTGCCTTCCTCCCTGCTATTAAGAGCTCACTCCAGGTGGCGTAAAGAGCTTGCCCAGTCAGTCCATAGTGTGAAGTGACCAGCTTTGCATCCAGACCCACAGTTTAGGAACCCCTTTAAGAGGGGACTGAAGGAGGAACTGGTGGTTTGGAGGGAGCGTGGATGGACTGGATGAGGGTGGGAGGGAGAGTTGATGGATGTGTGTGGGGAGGAGAAGGGAGAGTAATTGACGGACTCGAGGGGAAGTGGGGGTAAGTGATGTAGGTGTAGGCCCCTTGAAGCTTGATGGAGAAGGTTTGGTAAGGACTTAAGACCTTTGCAGCTCTGGAAACTGAACTCACTTTATTGGTATAGTTTGCCTGTGGTGTTGAGCTCTAGAGCATGTGGCTTGAATTTTCTACATTGGTAGCAGTGACCCCTACACCTCTGATATGTAAGCTACCTAATTTGGGGTCCAACCTCTATGAAGTTTGTAAGCCCCAGATACAGTAACTACATGTCGTTGCTAAACCCTGGTACAATTGTGCCCTGCAGTCCCCCTACCCATGCATGATTCTCACTCTGAGCCAATGCCCCCAGTGTGAGTTACGTAGTCCAGGGCTTCCCAAATTGTGGACTGTGGCCCAAAGGTGGGCTACAACACAATCCCGGGTGGTCCACTGGCAAAATTGCATTCTCCCATCAAGTCAAGGGCAGAGATTGGGGAGGGCTTGTAGGGGCATTGCCACCCCCTCCCCTCCCCCCCACATTTTCCATTCCCCTCCCAACCCTGGCCCCCAGCGCAGCTCCAGGACACGCAGGCCGTGCCTGATGGACCGTGTGCAGGGAAAGCATACAGGGCTGCACTCAAGGGCTGGAGTCAGCAAGGGGCTGAAAATTGAAGATGAGATCTGGTTGAACCTCAATAATGTGTCCCCAACTGGAAAAACTGTGCAAGGAGAATCTGGCACTTCCATCCCATTAAGAAGACTCCTGGTCTGTAAGTTATTTTATATTTTTATTTACAATATTTGATTCTTTTCTAATTAACAGAGAGTAGGGTTGGGTTACTTACAAAGCGCAGAAATTCAGATTTTACACTTAAAAAAAATTGAAAACGTAATATAGTGTTCAAAGTTGGACAACTATTTTGTTTTAAAACCAACAAATAACATTGTCTTTTAACTATTTTGTTAAAACCGTTGTTTTGCTTATTTTCAGTTTTATACCAAATTGAGTTTTCCCTGTTTGAACACCACACTTTGCTCTCAACATTGTTTTAAAGTGTAGTTTTACTACAACTGTTGGGTTTCAAAGATTTTTAAGCATTTTTTTTTTGAGTGCATATTGCTAGGACTTACAATCATTTATGTTAAAATGAAAAGGAAACATTAGATTGTTTGTTTATTTACTGTGAAATTTATATGTATGTAATCATAAAAATAATTTTCTTCAAGAAGTGTTTAATGGTGGGCCGCAGTGCCTATTGCAGCTGCATAGGTGGGCATCAGGGAAAAAGTTTGGGAATCCCTGACATACTCAACCTGGTCTAAGGTCTGAAGAATATTTTGCCCCTATTAGGCACCAGTAGGCCAGCTGGATGATTCGGCCCTACTAGAATGCTCCTGCCAGATACCTCACAGGATTCTGCATTCCATCCACTGCCAGAGAAGGGAGCATCCTGGCAGCACAGGGACCAATGGTTTTGTGGTTCACTCCCCCACATTGCAGCCCTGCCAGAGGCTGGGGATGGGGAGAGAAGGTCCTCTCCCTGTTATCCAGTCAGCCCTGCTTGTTTCCTGGGCCAGGAGGCCTTGGCTCTGGGGGGCCTGAGCTGATTAGCTGTTTACTCAGGCTCTCCAGGCCTTGAGTGCTGCTGCTCCACCTTTCCCATTCCTGTGAGTCACAAACTGGCTGTAAAACTGTTCTGTGCCTCTTGGATTGGAGAGAGGGGCTGGGGCTGCTGTGGTGGTGTTCCCAGGTGGCGGGAGGTTGAGGATAGCACTGTTTTGGGTTGGGGCTTCTGTAGAATGTACCTTTCCCCTGTCTTGCCCCCCATGTTCAGCACTCGGCTCCAGGACAGGGAAGGGCCAGTTCAAGAGCCCTTGAAGCCATTGCCCCAGAGCCCCTAAAAAAACTACATAGAATCCCCTGCCCTGGAACTGAGAACATGGAATGGGGAGCTTTGGGACTGGGTAGTGGGCAGAGCCAGGTGGAGAAAGGGAGCGAGCAGTTCCTTCATTGAGGGTGTGGCTTGCACAGATGCACATAGTTAATACCAAGGCACCTACACCATGAGCTTCTAGAGGGTGGTGCCCATTGAGTCATTTGCCCCTCTCTCCCATTCTCTTGCAGGGGGTTCCCATGATATAAAGGGGGAGTGGCCCCAATCACCCTTCCTTTCCTTCTGGTCCTTCCACTGAGAACAATGCTAGGCACGTTAGGCACTATATAAACACATTGTCAGAGACCATCCTTGCCCCCCAAATTATTTCATTTTATTATTATTTATTAACTTATATTAGCACCCACTAAGGGCTTGATTCAGGAGAAGTGCTATAACATAACTTTGTAGTTTCTCCAACCACCTATGCAGCTGTCCCTCAAGAATCCTGAATCTAAGTAGTGGATGTAAGATTTTATCTCCGGCAGATTGCGGATTCCTGCTGTTGAGGGTACATCCTGAGGCTGAAACAGTCCCAGTTTTCATTTAGGTTTTATAAAGCAACTATGCAAAGTAGTTAACTAGTAGCTTCTGTCACTTCCCCCTTGGTATCTTGGATTTGGCCATACCATCCAATCTGCAAGCTGGGACTAAGGACTGGCCTGATCATGCTCAAACTGTGATTTACTGGTGCAAAAGAGTTACAGGCTTCTGCAACCTCCCACCCCAAGCTGGAGGAAGAAAAAACAGGATCTCTGGATCTAGAAGTGGAGCACCTGTGGCCCACCATCCTAGCTGAGGAAGGAGCAGATGGTCAGCTCCTCCATGGAGGCTAGTGAAAAACAC